TTTTCTCTTAACCAGGACACACCACTTCCCCAGGTGACCCTCGAGGCACAGGGCAGCCTGTCTCACTGGTCTTGGCTTTAGGCAGTTTGAAAATCAGCTGTCTCTGCTTCATGTTAGCCTCGCACAGGTCCTAGCGTGCAAGATTGTAGACAGGAAAATGAAACTTCTGCCAGGTTACAGATTGCTATATCTGAAAGCCAGGGGAAATAGCTAAAAGTCAGTCTGATTTTCTCACACACCCACACCCCCCACCAAATTAGACTCCCACTAAAATGAAAAGTCCAAGAAAACAATCAACTTTGGTTTAAAAGCTGCTAAGGGATAATTATGGTTTTGAAATTAGTCTCTTTAAAGTTGTATTTTATATTCAGTTTTAGCTTTGGTGCCCATCCTCCTCCACCTGCTAGTTAAGACTCCTGCATCAAGTTTTCTTCTTACTAAATCACTTTTGTCTCCAATACATTACAAGAAATCTTAATACAGAGATGTTCTGCTGATGAGAAGCCAATGACAGAAAGTGTCTCTAGTTCCTTCCTCACATGGATTTCCTACACACTGTTGAAGAAGTTAAGGAATCTACCACCAAAGCCAACTCCAAAGCTAAAGGACTGGGTATTTTCTCAGTTAATGCATATGTGGGAATATTCTCTACGGAGAAGAATGCACGATCCTGTAACTGTATAAAATGCTAATTGTCTGTTTGGTGTTATTGGGGGGAGGCGGGGTAGGGAAATCACACCCAGATATTTTCAAAGTTATAAAGTCCTTGGAAAATTCTGATATTGCACGAGTCAGGCTAATAACTGATGGTGACTGAAACTAGCAAAACTGGCTCTGTCTACTGGCTGACAGAGGTCATGTAACATTTGTCTATCTCTAAAATGAGTATTGGGAAAAAAAAATGTCTAAGCCTTCATTCTTACCCGGTTGTAAGCACACAGACATGCTGCTGAGGGATGTTTAACATCTCAGTTAAGTGACAGACTACAGTGCCAACACCTCACAGGTGGAAGTCGGTCAAGAAGCTCCAGGTTGGATGGAAGGCTGCCTTGCAAAGAGGGACACTGGCAGCAGGCTGCAGAACAGAGCTCAAAGGTAGGGCCTGACAAACTGGATTAACTATGGATTCCATTCATTGTCCATCCTGGTGTGACTTGACAGGATTAAACTCCTGAATAAAACATATTTGCCATCTGGACAGCTCTAACAACAGTGCCCTTAGAACTTAGGCACATTCTCAAACACGGAATAACCACAGTATGTCAGCTTAGGGGGTCGTGGCACTTTCTGCAGAGCTAATGGCCCAAGAGCCAAGACTGTGTTCCTCTCCCCGGTCTCTAGTATGAGTATGGATGCTGGCAGAATAAATGGAAAACACAAACTAGCTCACTGAAACAAGGCAAATTAGTTTTGGAGATCAGTGACTAAGATACCAGGAGTACTTCACTTAACGCATTTAGGCAGCAGCCCAGCTATGGTGCTTTCACCTAACATGCCTCAGTTAATTTGAAACACCACAACACAAAAATGCACTGCAAGTTTTAAATTAGATTAAAAAAACCCACCACAAACACAAGCTTTCATTTCTTTTAACACTCATTTATGGTGTAAGGTAAGGAAAATAGGAAAGATGATCAGTTTAGACTCAGAAAATGACCCTTGGGAAGACAGCAAAGGTTAGGGGATAACATGGAAAGCACAATCTTTTGGTAACAAAAACAGAGGAAAAAAGTCACTTTCCCCTTCTCTGGCTATTCCCCTTCACTGGGGCAGAATGTCTCAAGGCTTCATCACAGCAAGGCTCCATTTAAATAAATGCTATCACCAGATTCAGTAACGGTTCAGTGCTGGCTTGTGGCATCTCTCCACCTCCCCCAATTTCAAAGCAATTGCTACAGAAGTCACGCATGCAAAGCAGGGATGGAGAAAACACTGTCTTTTGGCCTGTCGTTTCACATACAAATCTCAACAACACTGCAAAATTCAAACTGACAGTCTTTGTTTCAGCTGAGCAGAATCAGTACTATGAAATGCACTCCAGATGCTCAGTGGCATTTCTCAGTATGAATCTATTCCTAATTCAAGGCCTGCTAAGAAAATAAATACCTAAAAACTGAAGACTTCACTACGGGGGAAAAAAACCCACGTTAGATTTTTTGACAAGAGACAGACTAACCTTTCAGGGTCTTCAAAGTGGTTGCAAAGAAATACCCTCCCCACAGATCTGGATGTGAAATGTTCCAGAAGCTATGGAGCTGGCTCTCTGGGGCCTAGAGAAGGCAGGGCTGGAAGCACAACTATGTCAGCGTAACCTTCCTCTGGGATTTCCTGCTCCTTGTTCACGGAAACACCAGCTGTGGGAGCGAGAGCAGCTTGAACAGACACAGCCCTCTGGGTGTGCCCGGTGTCGAGAGGGAATGCAGAGAAGCCCTTCACCAGAGAATTGCAGCACCAAAAGGCTGAACAAACCTTGTGACAAACAGAAATAAATCCCTTCTTCACCTGGGGGGACACCAGAGACCAGTGACTGCTGCTATCCTGGATCCAGGCTGAGGAAGACTCTTGGGAACACATGAATGTGGCTCTGGGTGGGGAGGAGCCCTGCAGTCACCTCTTTCCTTCTGTCCCGTTGCTTGCCTGCTTCTCCTCTCTGCAGCATCATGCATTATCTGTCAGGCTGCTGCAGAAAAAGCACCTTTCAAACAGACCTCAATTCTGCACAGACCACTGTCATGTCAAAACAAGCACGGGGAGCTTGGCTGTTTTCATGCTTAATTCTCTGCTTAAATTTACTTGAGGCTGCACAAGAGCAAACCCTGCCATACTGGCATGCACCAGCTGCGTCCAGCAAGCACTTCTGTGCCCCAGGAAGCTCTCTCTCCTCACCCTGCTGCTCTTGGCCCCTGCGGAGCCAGGCAATACGCACACCCACCTCCACTGCGTCCTGAGCACTTCCCCCAAAAGAAAACGCTTGTTCTGTAACTCAGACTGCTGCCTTCACAGGGTTAATTAACACTACTGAGCAGCTATTGTTAAACAAACAAACTTCCTGGAGAAGCTAGAGATTTTACAGTCTTTTGCCAAGTCTAAAAATACTCAGCTTTTTTAAGATCTGACTGTGCAACAGTTTAATCACATGCAAGTACAACAGTTAAATATTATCATTTAAATATGTGAGGAACATCACAAACTTGGAGAGGATCTGGGACATCAGGAGGAGGAGGGGGGCTTGAGGCAGTGCTTGGACTCTGAAGAGCCAGAGCCAAGCTCCACTGGGCCGGCTGTGTGCGGAGCAGGAGATGGGCTGCTCTGCCAAGAGCACATGACAGGCAGCAGGGTAGCATCCAGCACACTCAGATGGTCTGGCATGGACATTTTCTAGCTAGTGCTAGAAGATCTGTGCTGTAACTCTTTTTTTTCCCCCATCCAGTCTTCCCAGGTCTCCCTTTAAGCCCTGAGTCGCAGCCAGCCCCTCACTTTCACAGACAGATCAGTTAAATAAGGGGAAGTGTCTTTTCCCTGTCCTGATCATTCCCACATCATCTGGAGCATTTTCCACTTCATTCTGCCACAGCGTATGTCCAGACTGGTATTAACACACAGGGGTTCTCCCTGTGACTAGCCCATGAAGAATCCAGTGATAACCAAGTTATAAGGCACTTTAATGGTGAATGATAGATTTAGTACTTAATTTTGCCTTTAGCTTCTAAAGCTAAACCTGGTCTGTCACACTCATTTGCACACATTTCGTTGGAGCAGAAGTGTAGAGGGTAAAATATGGGGCTGCTGAATCTGCTTCACTTTAGAACCAGTATGCATATTTCAGTGTATCAGGATGGTACACAAAACAATGACATTTGTAAACAGACTGTTTGGACCACAGTGGATTTACAATCTCCTGGGAAAGTTTTTCTTTGTCTCTATATAAGTTTGACTGCAAAGATTGTACTGTGCTCCATATATTCCTCACAGATTACTTTTCCCCCAGGCCCCCATTCAAGCAGGAAGCTTCTTTATTTGTTAATACAGAAGCTGATGGAAGTTGACTAATGCTGTTAGCTATCTTTTGATCAGAATTGATTTGGCAGAAATTGAAATAATCTGCTAGGAGAAAACTACAGTACTACTATAAAAACATACTTCAAGATTAAATTACTTAGTTTTCAGAAGTGAAACAACATTGCTTTGCATGCATCTGTGTGGTGACAAATGCACAAGTACCTTGAGGTGTTTAGTAACCCCTACCAGTGACTGCCTTCGCTGGAGCACAGGGCAGCAGAGCTCAGCTCCCCACAGTGCAACATACCTAAAAGACATGCCCGTAAGCTACCTGCCATTTTTGCTTACAATCTACAGTACCATGCCAGGGAAAATACAGAAGCATGCATATTGAGACTGGACTTCTGTTAGAATTGGGGATGGTGAAACTTCTTGCACACAAATACTGACAATAAATATGAACTCATTATCTGTTCTCTCACCCAAATTCAGCTGCATCGGTCCTGTTTACACAGCTTCTTAAAACATTGACTTGGTGAGGCAAATCAGTTCCACATCTTTTACTCAGAGCCAGGTTATCTGTTAGGAAGGTAGGAGGTTCCACAACCCAACCACAAGGAACATGACAGCTTTGAATAGAAGTTTTATATAAAGAACATCCAAAAACAGTTTGAAAGAAACTGTCCTCAGGCTCTCACAAACAAGACAAAACAGCTGATGCATCTAGCAGGCAATCAGCTGCAAGCATCCAGCTTCCCCTCACATTGGCTAGCAGCTCCCAGACCTTCTGGATGAACACATTTCCATTACTTCCACAGCTCTGTATGCCCACGCCAAAACAAAATGACATTCATAAGTGTGACTAGTTAGCTGCTGATAGTGTTTGACAGTTACTGATCACAGGCTTGTCTGGAAGCAAAGACAGACATGAGAACAAAGTGGCAAAGTCTATAAGCACTGCTTGAAGTTTACTTGAAGAGAAACCACCTCACAAACCTTACCTGTGCTGAGGATGCTCCACTTCCTTTTTTTAGTTCTGAGAAGTTCTCAATCAGTTTTCCTCCCTTGTTACTTGAGTTGCATTTATAGCACATCCACCTCATCAGGCCCTTAGTTACTGTCCCACACTCTTTACTCAGCAGACACAGCGAATGGTACAAGTGGCCACAGCTGTAAAGAGAAGAATTCTGCTAGGTGCTTGAAAGCAGGGTAACGTAGCTCGACAGCTCTGCACTTCGGAGGGGAAATCACCAGTCAATGGAAAAGACGACTGCTTATCTGTAAATACACATCAGCAGTGCACACGTTCCCTTTGTACCTTCACACTCTGCTGCAGTATTTCTAGACTTGCAAAAATAACAGTAGATGCCCATTTGCTGATACAGCTGCAGATCATAATACTAGGGTAATAATTGTCTTATTTTACAGCCATCTGGTCACAGACAGGAATACCGGAGATGCCAACAGAGTAGCTAGCCAGGACTGCAAGTAGATCTGAGATGTACAAATACAGGCAAATGAACCCAGTGCGCTGCAACTGCACAAACTGCATTGCTGGGAGAGATGACAGATAAACGGACAGCTTACTGAACAGCTCTCACAGAATTGTAAGGCAGTTTTTTCCAGCTGATACAGAGCTGGCTTCATGCAAAGAAGGCTGTCTCTAATGACTTTGACTAGCCAGCCCTTTTACAGTGCAAGGAAGCAGGGATACAAGCTCACTGGAATACATATAATTACTTGTGCAAGTCAAACACCAGTCACTTTAAAAAAATTATTTTTTTTTTTTAAAAAAAACCTACTAACATGATCACAGCTGTGACCCTACCCCCTTACCTGAAAACAATTATTTCATCAGCAGTTTCTTGCCTTCTTTTGTACTGTTGTAGACAAATGCAGCAGTAATCTTGCTTTGGGGTAAGCCCTCTAGTGACAGAAGCTCTTAGGTTACACAGGGACCAGTGGAGATCATGGTTTAAAAGACTCGTAGTTGTCTCTAAAAGAGTCTGTGTGGAAGACAATATACAGAATAACTAGGTCATTTTGTCCTCTCTAGACTGCAGAAACTCCATACCAATCAATTCTTCATAACAAGCAGCTTAGCAGATTACTAAGAGAAAACCAACCCAACAAAATTGCTTCTCTTTATGCTTTCTAGCCACTGTCCTCAAAATACTCATCCTTTCATCACATGTTAATGGAGGCAATACCTTTTCACTCTTAAATAGATAAGTCCTTTATTGATTTTTGTCAAAGAGCATTAAAAGAGACATGGTAGGCTCATTTTGTCATCTTCCATACCAGACCATCCTTCTTTTCCCTTTACTTGATAAGTTATTGCTTACATTCCCCATTTTAGGAGAAACGTGCTGATAAAAATCAAAGCCCAAATGCACTATCACAATTAAAATACAAAAAACCCACCGAACTTTTCATCTGCTAGTTCTTCCCAACTGAGATTTCCATTTCTGAAAAGCCAAGAACAGTAATTCCTTATTCCTTATAAAACAAAATACCCTTAGTTTTTAGCAGTCAGTACTTCTTTCAGCACCAAAAGGTATCAGGCATAGGTGCTCTGGTCCATGATCTATCGATGCTCTGTGGCAGCAACTCATAAAAGGCTGCAGAGGTTGCACCAGTGGTTCACATCTGGCCTTAGTCCAGATGTGACATGCAGCGTGTACCAGACAACTGCCAGGCAATGACAGAGGACCTTGTTCTGCTCAGAGCAGAACTTTACCAAGAACCCAAACAGAGATAATGGTGCTTCATGTTCAGCCCTCTAAAGTAAAGCTATTTCCCATTTTATTTTTAAATTGGATGCTGCTGCATAGAGGCCTGAGCAGTAGCTAGGATGGGCAGTGCCATATGGTAGGCAGAACGAGGGAGGGTGAGTTTGGAGGAAGACTGTGCGTTCTGTTTTGGGGAAAAGGAGTTTTAGATAACTGTTGACGTTTGGATACTACCTGGGATTTGAGATTGGACGGAGAAAGGCAGGAGTGAGATAAAGGAGAAATCTCATCAGGTGACAAAGGAAGTGCAGCATTACCACTGGGAAGTGGCAGAACAGCCTAACTAAAGAGGTCTTATTTAAAACCACATAAAAAGACAAAATATACTGGTTTTGTGCCTCTGAATCCCTAATTGCAGGATGAGCTGGAAAAAAAGCAGTTGTTCATCCTTCCAGTACATTTAGCTGAACTCCAGAAGTGTTTGTCATGTAACTGTCAGTCCCTTCACTTGCCATCTGTCTGTGAGCAATACAAACTCACTCCCCTTCCCCCAATCACACAAATATAAATCACTTACATGTCCATTTACTTTGCCCTGCAGAGAGAAATGGCAGATGAGAGAATACTAGGCTAGATAGCTAAAATCAATTCCTGTATACAGCAGTGGATGAAACAGAAATGCATGCAACTTACTTGTTCATAGTTGAAAGTGTCCAGCATTCCCAAGACAAGTCCTTGAATTTCTCCGAGCTTCCCTTTTCCATAAACTGGATCCTGTATGAAGAAACGAAAAGCTGCAGCTGAATCACAGGATATGACCATGCTGACTTTTTTCTCTTTTCTCTCCAGATTGGCATCACAAGCGGAAGTTATGACTCCAGATTTGAAGATGCTGTACATGCACAAGGACAGCAGAATTATCCTATGTATTGATGGGAAAATTGGTAATTATCAAAATTGAGTAGATGATAACATCAATACTAATTACTGTGTTTGGGTCAAAATACTTCAGATGTGACTTTGCAAACTTCATTCGGGAGATGCAAGAGCTGACTGGAGAATGCACTTGAGGAATATCAAGGAAAACAGCAGAAAACAGTGACACAGGAGGTATCAACTCCACCTGTGCTGCCACTTGACACCAACTTCTTATAAGTGTCTGCTGTGCTGCCTGCAGGGCTCTGGGCCTCAGGTCAGTGGGTAATTCACTCCTGAGTCTCTGCATCTCCAGGTCACCCCCAAGCTCATTCAACAACCCCTGAGCTGCAGCTGAAAGAGCACAGACCCACTGAGCTGTGCAGCTGCACAGCAGTATGCAGGAATTCTGGGCAATCCTGGTCTCACATCCCAGGTAACAAAACATCATCTGGAGAACAGGTGCCTGGGGCTCTTCTGTTGCTGCAGGGACGCTCTCCATGTGCCCTGAACAGCTTTATTTCCATGTCCCAGCAGCACAAGTGAAGGATTGTTCTACAAGTCAAGGCCCTGGTGCATCTCAACCACCTCCCCTCAAGGCCTGCTCCCAACCAAACATCCCCTTCTCCTCCACAGCCACCCTAGCACCCTCTGAAGCATTCATTGCTCAGTGCAGTACAGGAACCCTGATCTGGGATGCATCTCCCTGTTCTGGACTGAGCTTAGCAAGGAGCCTTTTGGGAGCTGCTCTCCAAGACAATGCCTCTCAAACAGGCAGAGATGGGCAAAGCACTGGAAGAGAGGAGAGACTTCTGCAATGCACTTCTCTCCTGCTGGGCCCTGTTGCACAAGACAGCAAGCTTCTGCTCATGTGTGCACTGGACCACAACAGGAAATACCAACAACCAGCATGCTGAGAGATTGCTGACAGCTCCTCGGGGCCACAAGGGCTAGCATCCACCAGCACTAGGATCTTCTAGGCAGAACTGACCCTGAAAGATCTCACCATGCATTGCAGAGGTGCCCTGTCCCCTACTAATGTGCAGCATGGCATCATTTCCAATACACACGTGCCAGGAACACAACTTCCTCCTACTTGTCTTTGCAGCGACAGCAAGATCAGACTAGAACACAACACAACGATGTTACCCTAAAGAAGATGCCCTGCAAGATGCTGGCTAACCAGCTGGGATCCAGGCTGTCTTTGTGTCTTTAACATAAACGGGAAGCAAAGAAGTGGTGTGATGCACACTGCGCAGCCCAGCTTCAGTTCTGTCTCTGTGGCGCAGCCAGTCTCATCTGCGTAAGAGCAAGGCTGTGCCCTCCCCTCCCCAAACCAGCACCAGCAAGGCACACACATGACTATAATCAGAACAAGTCTACTCAGGAGCACCTCAGAAGAAGATCAGGGGAAATCATCTTTGTGTAACACACAAATCCCAGAGACTGGCAGACAGTTATTGAATTGGACCTGGAAAAAATCATTTTGCCCTGCTGGGAAGGATATGGGGGAAGCCTGCTGGAAACTGAGGAAGCTGACTGGTAGAATGGACAAAACATTGGCAAAAAAAATAGAGACAGACTGGCAAAATGTGAAAAGGAAACTAGCCTAGAGAGTAGAAAAATGATGGAGATATGGTGGAAACTGGAACAGAAGGAGCTGATGAACAAGCTCTGGATGAGAGGAATGAGAAAAGGAGACTGATTCCATGCTGGGACTAAGAGTGAGGGACAGAAAGGATAATCAAGAGTGAAAAAGCAAGTTGACAGAGACAACTAAAGTAGCATGCAGGTTACACTTCAGGATACCCAGAGAGATCAGCAAAACAGCTACAGAAACTAAATCAGGCAACTTTTGAACAGCCCTGAGTAATATCACTTGAGTCAAAACCAGTTGTAGATTTGGAATATACAGAAGAGCCTGACATGTTGCAGAGGCTACTTTTTTGCTAGGTGAACAGTACAGCCTCAAACAACACTAAGTTTTCTTTCTACAGGCATAACTGTGAAGCAACAGCATACAAAGTATACTACAGTGAGTCACCATATGAATTATGGAAGGCAACGGGGAACTCGGGACTTCCAAGGCAGCATGTACATGATCCATAACAGTAAGTTCTTTTTGCATCCACCATATACTTTTCTAAAGCACTCAAGTAATATGGCCAAAGAATCTTAAACAGGTAACTCACAAACTACACAATCATTCACATATAGAAACTCAAACTTCCCAAGATGCAAGTAGAGACTTCCAAAGCACCTTGTTTCTCACCTGGATAGAGGAGGAAGAAGATATATGAAGAGAGGGGAATAAAAGAGTCACCTACAGCTTTGCAGAGGAAGAATGCGAGTCTGAGGGCCAACTTTTAGTTGCTCAGTTTTTCTCAAGTCATGCTTAATGATCTCTAAAAAAATGACAGGTAGGAAGAGAACGGACTTATCTCCGAAGAGGAGCTGTGTGGTCCCACAAAGCCTTACACTGAGCCTGGCAGTCAAGTACAAGTGGTGAAGCTCCTGCACATTTCCTGCCAGCAGCCACTGAAGACAGTGCTTCACAGGCCTGGGCTGCAGCTGTCTACCTCCTTGAGCAGGGAATCCAGAGCTGTAATTTCACATTTCCAGCAAGTTATAATGCTTTCTTCCAGTTTCCTGGTTTCAGACCCCACAAAATTTACAGTCACAAAAGCCTTGCGGGATCACGTACATTTATGGAGGAATATGTTTCATTAACTCCACCTTATAAAATTTGTCTCAGTTTGGAATTCATGCATGCTCCAAATACACTGTACAGGATGGCACATTAATAACAGTAAGTTGCACCAAGCCAGGAACAGATCACAGCTACACTTTCCAGGCTAGTATTTCCCTGGGGACATGGCAAGGCTCAGCATGGAAAGGCAAAGCCAAGCTTGCTGCCCAGTGCTGCTTCCAACACACAGATCAGGAACAGCTGGCGGGTATCCAGATGTAATCCAGAAGTGCTCACGCAGCCTTTCAGCCAGTTCTGTTTCCTCCATTTCCGACTTCTTCCTAGCTCCAGGAAATAGCACTTTCTTTGCTAACTGCACTCACAGAACTGTGCTAATAAATGCACTATGAACTCAGAAAACACATTTGCTTGCAGCTCGTCCCATCTGCAAGGGGACAGAGCAACTATTGCACATAAAACTAGTTCCAGTGTTGACCTTCAGGACTGGAAGAAAAAAAACAGGCAGGGCCCTAAGCAGGGATGGAAAAAATTCAAACAAAGGCTTTTTTGATCTTTCTGCTTCCACTCTGTAACAGATTTTAGAGGTTCCTTCCCTACTTTGGGGCTCCTACAGGTAAATTTTAAATTTCTGGCTTCTCCAGTTCTCCATTTTGTAATAGGCATCAGCTGCAGCTACTTACAAAACATTCATGAAAGATTACAGCTTTGTAAGGGAATTAACACTCAACCTTTCAGCCCTCTTCAGACAGCATTCACATCCTTAAAGACATGGAATTTTTCTTAATGCTCAAGAGGATTCCTCTTGTATCTCTCCTAATATGGTTATTTTAGACTTTCTATTTAGTAAATAACTTTACAACATTATTAAGGATGAGTAAGAACATAAAATCATTATTTTACATGACTTCAATTATATAAAGTTGAGTCAATATGCTGTAATAAGCAGATGCCAGGAGCCTACCTATTTTCTGTGAAAGCTGTGGAGTCAGGTCATAGCCCTTTACAAGGTGCCTTTAGCAAAGCATTTTGGTTGCAAAGTTGACATTTGCATAAAGTAAAGTCTATAAGCAGCTAAGTCCAGAAGAGGAAGAACAGTCCACTAAAATTGGAATACTCTAATTCCTTTTCAGAAAAGGCAAGGTAATCTACCTCAGATTACTGATGTCCTCCATTTTACAAAAAAATGCCCCAGTTAATTCAGAACAGGTTGTTAGGAGTTGGAATGGGCTGCCCAGGGAGGTGGTGGTGTCCCCATCCCTGGAAGTGTTCAAGAGTAGGGTCAATTTAGAGCTTAAGGATATGCTGCAGGTGGGAACTGTGCTAGGCGAATGGTTGGACTAGATGATCTCCAGGGTCCTTTCCAACCTAGATGATTCTGTGATTCTAATTCCTGAGCAGCTGTTCTACCTTCCAAACCTGCAGCTCCAGTGCATCTATGCTCTAACACCAAGATCTGTTGGAACAGCTTGTGAGGGCATTTTCAGACAAGCACCACTTTGATTCTGGGTTTCACAGAAATATTTCTAGGGCTTGGGAAAGGCTGTTATGTTCTCCAGGGCCCAGAAGAGCTGGTTTAAGAATTTACTTATGGCCACAGTTACAAGTGGTACATGACTAACGTTTTGAACAGGGGCTTACATACTGCTCAGAGCCAAGACAGAACGGTTTGGCACCAGGGTTTAGAATTTCTACATGGCTTCAAAGTGCAACAACACAGCTTTGCAAAAGGAATAGCCACCCAGGGCTAACAAAATAGAGATCTTTCTAGCAGAGAAAGCTGTTGAGATAAGAGTATTCTGGGGAAACACCGTGTATACGTGCCCTGTTGTTACTCTTCTCTGCAGGACAAGAATAAAAGGCATCCTCAGATAATCCAAGGAAGCATATGACAGGTCACACTACACAGAGAGGCAAAAAAATCCAGTGCTCCCTGCTGTCTAACACAGCAGTTTCTTTGCTGATCCCAAACATGGCAAGGGTTCAGAACCCCTGAACATTTCAGCTGAGCACGCAAAGACATGGCCACATGGTAAGGCTCATCACCATTCCCAACATCATCTTTCCAGCTGAATTCAAAGCAACATTCTTCCACGAGCCATGCTGTGCACCAAAATAAAACCCAAAGAGAAATGTTGGAGAACGGCTTGCAGAGAGCAAGGCCATAGCTCCCTGCAGGAGCTGGTCGGCCATAGCTCCCTGCAGAAGTCGGTCCCAGTCACCTGAGGTAAACAAAGGAAAGAACCCAGGGTACAGTTATGTAAACAAGGATGAAGACCCAGGGCTCAGTTGTGCTAACGAGGATTGTTGTGAGAACACAGAGATAAGTTGGGGCGCATTATGACCTTGGGGGTGAAAGCAAAACAACCCTGGGAGAGAAGCAGGTTCACAGCAAGAAAGATGTTTATGCATACCAGAGATGCTACAAGGGGCTGGGATATTATAATGTGACTTTTTAGATGTATCCAATGGCTGAGATATTATAACGTAGTTTCTTAAATGTATCCAATAGTGTTACAAGTAGTGTATTGTAGACTGCTTATATAAGGTGTGATTTCTATCAATAAAGTTGAAGCTTGCTCTATCATTCACATTGAATCGGCTGCTTGCTTCCTCCGCCCGCCGCAGAGAAACTCCTAGAGGCATCCAGTGCAAGCCCTGAAGTTTCACAGTTTCGTACAACACAGCTACAAACACACAAGCAAAAGTGACATAGAGCAATGCAATCCCAGAAATCCAGAAACAAAGCTTGGTATGAACATAGTACAAATGGAAATATGTGTTTTTAAGCACAAGAACAAAAGGTTAAATGAATGGCCTGTCTTGGTAACAAAGGACACTGTTCCCAGCTGCAAAGCTGAGAAGGGTGTCAAGCACTGAAGGGAACAGACTGATGAGGCCAGGACAGACCAATGACAGTGGAAGACCCCATGTTCTAATGTGAGGAGGATGACAAGTTTGCAGAATATCACACACCATTTTGCTGTTAGCCCAACAGGGGCGCAGACTATAGATGTGTATTTCAAACCTGGGTTCCAAACAAGGGAAAACAAAGTGTGCAGCAATATGGTCTCTCTGATTTACGGAAGCTTAACTAAGATTCAGAGGCAAAAATCCACCTTATAACAGCCATCAACTTCTGAAGGACATTAACTAAGCTGTCCAAGCCTAAGTTGTCATCACCAATCAGAGGAAGCCCAGAGAGGCAGCGAGGGGCTGACACCCTCTCTACTGCCCACAAACAATCCAGGTCACATCATTCACTCCCATACATCTTAGGTGTGTGAGTGCATCTATAAAACAGTGTTAAGAGGCAAAGTCAACTTATTTAGAGATCCTGTAAAGCAAATACCACCTTCCATAGGATTTTCTAATGAGTTTTATGACACTATTTTCCCTACACCTGTTTCTGAGCTACAAAGTACCAATTACTATTCCTACTTTATGAAGTTCTGATACTAACATTCTTTACCTGAAATTCAGTCCTTCTCTCTAAATGCATTTTAGAAAGTCATCATCTCTTCCCGTTTTTTGCTCCGGTTGTACAAAAACATTTGCCTTTTAAAATCTTTATTTTGTCAGACTGAATTTGTAAGGCTGACCAGGGAAGTGGAATGAACAAGAGCAATTTCCTCCTGCCTCCAAACCCAGTGACCAGAGTTGCACACGCAGCTTTAACTAATGCCTTACACATTTCTGTCCCTAATAAAAGTACCTCACCTGATGCACCATAAGCATCCCATTATCCTTTGCAATCCTGCCATCACAGCAACCATTTCACTGTACAACTGATAAATACATATCACTCATCTGTTGCCTCCAGGACATGAATGCCAGCCTCTATAGAAAAGGGTTTTTCTGTTTCTGCTAAGAACAGAAATGGGATGAAATATTTGAAGACTGCAAACAGGAATTTCTATTCATCCCAAGGGAGAACAGGATCCTCCTCCACACTGCAATCCCTCCCAGCTGTGTTATCTTCACAGTAGTTGCTGGTTTGCTTCTCACACCAGTCTGGTAGTTCTCAACACAACCCAGGAAAGCCTCCCTGTCAACCTCCCCACTTACTAATTCATAGCTTCTATATCATTTCCTGCCCACATTAAACATCAAAGCAAGCCCAATAAGAAACCTGTATCTAATGCCCCAGTTAAAACTAGACAAAGTAAGTTATTGAAGAGCCATTGAGTTTGCTTGACACTTTCTACCTTTGATAAAACCACATTTCATTTGATTATGCTTTCATCCACCCTTTTACAACATCTTTCACTGTCTTTAATTATGATTTTTTCCAAAATTCAAGATTGTACATAATATTAAGATAAAACTAATAGGTTGTTAAAGGTGTGTGTTCACCCCATGAAGCCTGTAAGCCTTTTTCTACATTTTCTTCTCTCATCTGGAGTAGAAACCCTGAAGAGTAATTCATCATGTTCTCAACCCTTCAATCATTCCACTCCACAATGCGGACAATTTCTCTAATTCATTTTCTGCATTTCTCAAGGTTTGCTATTAAATCCCAACCTCATCTTTCATCTATTCTGCAAATTAACAAATCATATCCGCTTGTGATCATTCCACCCAAAATTCCCCTTTGAAATTACTTCTTCTACAGGGTGTTTGCTGCTCACTAACATCTCTAAAATAATACGTTGTGCCATCAATCAAAATGGCCCAGTTGTGACTTCTTTCTCCAAAGCCTACAAATTTTGCTTTAGTGTTTTCACAACTGCCCATTCCGGAGCCTTAGCCAAATGGCTTTCAACAAATTTAGTTCCAACAATTATGACAACTTCATAATGGCTTTACCCCTAAAACTGCTAAATTTCAGTTCAAAGTAATCACAACATTTGAGATAATATTTTACTTAGTTTGCAGAAATTACCTCAATTATCTTCTCACAGGTCTCTGTGTTCCCACATGTCTCCTCAGAGCATCAAGTCTTCCAGGTCTTTTTATCAGATTTTCCAATTTATATCTCACCAACTGAACTTTTACTGAAATATTCTGAACAAGACAATTAGCTAATCTGATCTTTAACAACCTGGAAATGGCTGTCACATCAGCAATGTGTTCAGCTCTTCCCCATTACTGAGTAGCACGGCTTGGTAAAAGCTTCTTCTCTTCAGAAACTCACCTGTAGAATTCTCTGCAGGATTGAAGGAAGAGCGATAAATGCAGCCATGTTGTTCAGCACTTGCATTGTCAAACTCTTCAAAGCTGAAATATCAAACATAAAAGCCACCAGCAGTTCATTAGGATTCAAGGAGTAAAGAGAGATCAGTCTTTCAGATTAAGAGTTTTATTTCAGTTCATGTTTTCTAGTTTGAGAAGGGGTTTTGTATTTTTTTCTTCTGCATGTTTTGCACTAAGCACACTCAGCTTTTTGTATCAGAAAGTACATTTATATTTAAAAGTTTGATACCACAATGCTTCTTCCTTCCCCTCCCACACCCTACCTACAATAACCATTCAAATTTTGAGACCAACTTTGTAGCACTGTCATTCACTTTTTCTACTGCTACCAAAAACCAATTTGGAGGCGCTGTCCATGTTATAGTCCCACAGACTCTATAACTTCCTAACATTACCCTTTTGATGAAACTTGTTCCTTGATCCCCAGTTCCCCAAAGTAAGAGCCAATAACAAGATATGCACAGGCCCAGCAATTCAGCTTCTTTGTGGGGATAATTAGCTAATGAGAGCAGTTAGGGAAGTATGCACATTAGGAATGAATACAAAATAGTAATGCAGCATCCAAGTGTATTATTCTCTCATCATTTCTGGTATCACTTCAGATTATTACTTTTCTTCAGGCATTAGATCCCAAAAATGGATAATCTAGGGGGCATTCTGAATTTAGAGGAAAAAAATTATTTGAGGGAAGAGAGATGATTTTTTTTTTTTTTTGATTACTGATCTCTGCAAGACTATCCCCAGGAATGCAGATACAGCTAACAGTCACTGGAAAGAAATAAATAGAGGAAGGAAGGACAGCATGGTAACCCCCACACTTAGCTGTAAGATGCTGTGATCCTTAACCACGCAGAACTACAATCACTGTGGAGAGCAGGGCTGGAATGGACCAAAAGCCCTTATTCTGTCCCAAGACCACAGTACCTAAGCCCCTTCTTAAATGTTTTAAGTCTCCCACAAAGGGAGGCTTTTGAAGATGTGCTGCCAACACCCACAACAGATTCAGGGCACTACAACTGGAGTAGAGTATTTAGCTGATGTACTCAAGTTCTACTGATTTTATCTACAATAGACTGGTGCAGGGATAAATGTACAAAAAAGCTAGTACAGAAGATGACAGTGTATTATATCAGAAGTTCCTAAAGTGCAGACTGCAACCTACTTACAACCTCGAAAGCCTTTGTACATGCTGTGCACCTTGGCTTTTTCAAAGAGACCATCCTACATCCTAAATGGAACCAGCATATTAGCAGAGGCTACAGTAGGGTCCCTCTTGCATTCATGACTTAAAAAAAGTACCTGACAGCTGCAGCCTACCAAAGGCCCAGCCAGAGCTCAGTCCTACAGCCACTGCAGTTCAGATCTACTGCAGGAGCAGCAAATATAGGAGTTGAGTAACAAAACTTCTTTTCTTCTATTCATTTGGTAGAGGAGGAGAGACAGCACACAGATTTTGATTAATGTTTGGGATCACAAAAGCCAAAATACTTACATTCGGAGTATCGACACTGTGAAGAACCAGCCAATTTCTGTGGGGACATCATAGCCTCCAGCAGGGGAAACCAGAGGGCCTAAAATAATCATGTGTGAGGAAAAAAAAACAACCAGTAAGAACACAGCAGTACTAAAAAATGAGCTGTGACCAGTGTCAGGGTCCATTTCCAAAGACTCACTTCCACATTCTGAAGCACAGAACTACATTTCTCATTACTGCAATAGAACAGAACTGAAACATGTTAAAATAACCTCAGAGCAAAGCACTTAGGAATCTGCTTTCAGTCTAGATTGCTCATTTCTTAGACCAAGATACTATTTGGCTGGGATCTAAGCACAGAAGGCCTTTGGCTCCTGTTGCTTCCTCTTCTCCATTCTCACCCATTTCTTTGCTGGAATTGTGACAATTTACTTTTACTTCATTCAGGCCCCAACTACTTTTCCATGTGAGCTGCAAACTCTCTGGTGTAGGCTGCTTACGTAACGGGTAGCACAATAAATAGATCCCAACTGGAAAGGGGCATCTAAATTCTCCAGGCAGGACACAGGAGTTGTGAAAATTCACATAATATTGCACCAGGAAAGCTGGTCCTTCATTTGACCAGAGTCCAATCTTACTTGGGCATCAACAAAGCAATTCCAGCAGGTGGAAGTGCAAACACTAACTCAAATCTATCCAAGTAGGCAGGTGGGCCAAAAGCACTCAGGGTGTGCATGCAGACACCTCTTCAACAAAACACAGCAGCTATTTGTTGCCCAAAACAATCATTTAAGAGAATAAACTGAGGTCACCTCATACACTGGACAGTGCTTGGAAGAAATTACAGCATTTTTAACTTCCAGAAATGCCACCTCTTCAGACACAGGAGCAGTGTTCTCAGTTTTCAGTTCAGTTGCATAAGTTATGCATAATCTTAGGAGTAAAGACCCCTTCTATGTCACTGACATTGACAAAATGGAAAGGCAACCTCAGTACAAGGAGGCAGGCAAACCCAGTTTTTTCTATGCAAGTGCTCAAGCCAGACACATTGTCTCCATCCCTCAAAGACCAGGCTGACATTAAATTCAGGATTTGTGAACATATTCAGAACAGCAACATTCTGCAGCGTCAGCTTTGTGCCATCATAAACCTAGCTCAAACCTTACTATGCTTCTTTAGTGTCTGACATTCAAGTCAAAATCTCAACTGGAGCTAAAAATGAGGGAAAGGATGTTGTCTCATCTGCTTCTTCACTTTATTTTGTGCTTTGCCCCTACAAGTGAGGATTTCTCTCCTGTGGATCTAAAACCTGAACCACTGCAAGAAGAACAAAATGACTGATTAAGATGTATCAGTATCCAATAGATGGGGAAAGGAAGAAGCATGTACAGAGAAAGTTTCAGGAGATGCAGAGACCTTTGTTGATTTTAGTGATACATTTTTTTGTTACCTTACCTCTCGCTGTTGCTGGTCTAAATTGTGTGAATTTCTCTGGCAAAGGGCAATTGTTTTCATTAAGGTATCTTCAATATTTTCCAGCAAGGGTTGCTCAGCTGAGCCTAAGTTTTGGCAGAAAAAAAATAATTGCAATTCTAAAAACTATTAGGTATGTTAACGCCCAATCATTCTTAAAAATGAAATCACGCTGTTCATCTAAAGTCTGTTCACTACAGTGAACAGCTATATAAAGACAGGTTCTGATTTTTGGAACTTTTCCTGAATAGCACAATAAATTGGGCATATAAAATTTTTCATGTAATCGTAAAAGGAAGATCGTAGCTGTGGTTTAGGATACAATTAAGTAACAAATATGGGCACTGTATTTAATTAGATGCCCATGAGTCCTTGGCCTAGTGAACAGTGCACCTGTGCATATATTAATTTTCTGTAGGCAGAACACTCTTTCTTCTCTGAGAAGTTTGCTTGAAAAAAAGCTACTTCCAGATGTCTCTCATCATTGTTCATGTATAATGCCTGGTAAAGCTCAGTAATGAGTCTGAGTGGATTCTAACTTAGGAAACATATCTGGTAAGCCAGCAAGAGTACCAGTCACAATCAAAAAAGCTAACAGGACAGCTGACCACACACACCACACAGAAAAAACATCCATCACAGCTTGTTCTGAATTTCTAACAAGATCAGTAACAAAGTAAGGAAGCGTCAGCAGAACAACAACCAAAGCCATGTGAATATAAGTTAGGAAAAATGTCACTGCAATACCTAAAAAACACGAAATAGGATCCCATTATGCCAGGTGTCAGGCATATGTACTTTACATTTCTGTGTTTATCTCTTTTTAACAGAAAAAAGAATTTAACTTGATAACTCTTACTTTCATCATCTTGTGTAAGCATCAGCAACTTGCTCTGCAATTGCTGAAACGAGAGAGAAAACTCAGAACAGACAACTTGCAGAATCTTGATAGAGGTGTTTTTAAAAGATATGGTTGCAAGGGCTCACCCTCATTTTCTTCCCCAGTATGACTAACGTACCATAAATGTCTTTCCAAATACGGAAAACAGGAGTCGAAAGATGATTTTTGATTAAGAAAAACAAATTTCAGCATCATCTATTAGTTAATAGCTACTATCCATTAGTTAATAGTAAATTATTTACTATGTGTTTGAAGACATGCAAGAAAAATATACTGATCTGCTGAGCCTGCAGACAACTCAACATATTGCTGTTTTACAGAGGTAAATGCTTCCATGGATTCTAGTGGGAAACAAATTAAGAAGCAATGACAATATCAAACCTTAACATAGGCCACCATGCTGATGGCATGTCATGCCACGCCACGCTGCCATGGCAAAAATGCCACATTCAGGATTTCAGTGTACTGTACCTCAAGCATAACCAAAAAGGCACCATGGATATCTCCCTTCTTCTCCAGTAAATATGAAGAAGCTTCATGGAGCTGGTGTTTCTGGGTTATCTGAGTTAAAAGAAAAAAAGAAAAACCAAAACAAGGTAAACGTCTATCTTAAGAAATCTGCCAGTCTTTGTTTTCTCCACAAGACAATGATGACCAGATGGTCACAAAGGATTGTGTCTCCATGTGTTCACAGGCATGTTACTCCATCTGAACAGCACTCCTACTTCCCCACCCCACTCCCAGCTACACTGCATTTATTCCTCATCTTGCACTATTGCCACCATCAGCATTAGAATCTTAAAAAAACCCAAACAAACAAAAAAACCCAAACCAAACCCCGAACTATAAATCAAGATCAAGGACAGATTATTGTTAAAGTTTTCATAAAGGGAAGAAATAGTTGCTCTCCCAGTGCTAGTCAAATTTTGGCAGCGTTGCTTTCCAAAAAACCCCAGGCCCGTGATTTCATATACCTTCAATATATTAATCAACATTATCAGAGCCAGTCTCTATTCTGCAGTTACTCAGTAGCTTCCGAGCACTAACGGCCTTTTTCTTATTAGCCCTGAGACCAAACTCAAAATCAGTATATTAAATATAGCTAAACATGCTGGAGGAGAGCAGATTAGCTGCTCAAGGGGACAAACAGTGTTAGAAATGGATTGGGAGAGTATCCATGAACTAATCCACAACCTAAGCTAAAGTACTTTTACAGTAGTTTAAAGAGGTAGGAGCTGATCTGAACGCTTCCTCTAGGCCCTGTCCTTATATGTGTCTCTCTTACCTGGATGGCTTCTTCCAGTCTGCAGTATTCCAGGACTTTAAGCGTCTCCAGAACCTGGTCTGGGCTGTACTGACACAGCAGCTCAATGAACTGCTCAGAGATGCAGGGTGGTAAGTGTATCAGGTCTTGGTTAATGCCTTCTCTGGAATACAAAAAGCACAGGAGTCTCAAGTCAAATTCTAGCCCATAAGTTTGGCTGAAGAGTTTCTTATCCATTTGTGTATTGTCTTTTATCCTTAATACAGAAATAAAAAATCTGGCTTTAAGAGAAAAATTATGCTGTTTCTACTAGTTACTGGTGCTGCAGGTCTGTTAGTAGGCATTTAATTTGTTCCACAGCATATTCTACTGATGCCTCAGTGTCAATTAGATTGTCAAAGACCCCTGTGAAGGATACCAGCACAGACACACCTTCAGCAATTCTATGGTAAAGAGGTACAAAGAACTCACCTAATTTCTTCACTGAAACCTTATGGCCTCTGAGTGGTCTTTTTAGATGCTCATTGTCTATTTGTCCTATAGAATTTCTCCGCATGTGTTTGAAGAAATATTTTACTGCTTTTTGCTTATCATTCCCGAAATTCTTCTTTGGCTTCCTTTATCACATTTTGATGCTTCATCTGCTAAATCTGATCCCTGTTACCTACCTCTGAGATATGAAATCATGCTTCTTTTAGAGAAACATCCCCATTTGTATTCAGTTCCTCTTTTCAGGCAGAACAAAACCGGTGAATTAGGTTTTGTTCTTGCAGAGGCAGTACCTCTGTGCACTTAATGGTCATTGATAGAGCAGAGAGCCAACTGTAAGGTTTCAAACCAGACCCTGCATACTGTTCAGCCAAAGCCTGCATCCTGTCTCAAGGGTTTTGCAACCAGCAGCACTACAGAACCATATTCATCTGGAATCAAAGACATCTGCCTCATCTCCCAGCATGGGATCTGCTCAATCAACACAGGTAGGTAAAGTCTACAACCTCTGCTGTGCTTCCTGCCCTCATTATCTCCCTGACCTATACTGACCTTCCACAAGCAACACTGCCATGATGGTTGGGCACTCAGCAGTGCAGACCTGACACTTCTCTTTCTAGGCAGGGCTGTGGATAATGCTGCCTGGCCTGAGCCGTTCAGGAGGCCAAACTAGGGCTTCCCTTCTGATTCAAGCTGAGGCAATTTCTGCAGGTGAAGCTTACAGTACAATTAAACTCATTTAATAAAGATGTCCCTGTAAAAAAAGATTTCTCCAATTCCTTTCCAGTAGCAGCTGCTGGCACTGCAGTTGTTTGTGCAGTGGCCATTTTCTGATCACTTATTATTAAGTAAACTCCTAATGTGGGATTAAAAAACAGAACAGAATTGCATGCGGTGCCTATGACTCTCCTTGCGTCCTGACTGTTTTCTACTGATCTTGTTTTTAAAAAGAGCAACATGAAACAAGAGATTTTGAAGAGTTAGGATGGAATGGATGATACTTTCCTAGAGACAGATATAGCACCTGCAACCCTTCAAAATGAACAGTAGTTCACCACCACAGTAGGTTAAACTTCATGTGGCAGTTCTAGGACTGACAGATCGTGCAGAGAAACAGCAGGAGTTTATCCTGTCTAGGAAACAGGGCTCTTAAACCTGTTCTGAAGCTCCTGCTAGGAAAGAAAACAGATCAAGGTATGCATTTAGTTTTGTTATCTTTCTGAACAGAAATTTCTGATCAGGAGAAGATACACTGATGTTCAAACCCTACAGCCATGGGATGGAAAAGGTCCGATACACAATATGATCCTATAGTTCCTGGGAGCTACAAGAGCTAATGGGATTATCATCATCCAAGGAAGGCCAGGAGAACATTGTGCCCCTAGCAAGCCAAAAGAAGCTTACTGTGATTACAATGTCCATCACTTGATTATAAACTCTATTTGCCCAGAAATTAAAGCTTCACACAGGTACTGTTCACAGAGTCCAAAGTATGGACACAGTTATACAAAAATTGGTATTCAAGCTATTGTGCTTTGACATCAAATAAAGAGTGGGCTTTTGAAGGACCAAACAAGAACCCTAAACTCTGGCCTCCAGCATTCACCATCTACTCCTCCCACAACACACACACTATAAACTCCCCCAGTGCCTGTAAGGAAGAGAATGTTCTATTCTTTTTGCAACTGGACTAAAATAAAGAAGCACTTTCTATCTAAAATGATCTCTGTCTACCAAAATGGGAAAAACGGCAAGTCATACATTTTTAGTATGAGAACAAACTTCTACTCTGGAAATAACTCTGGCACCTAGTATTCATGATTTCATAAGCAAGCTGACCTTTTTATTAACCTTTTCACTCAAGAAATGCAGAGAACAGAGAATGGAAAGAAAGCTGGATTTTGGTAACGTTAAAAATTAAGCAATAGTCTTGAGACTTGCAGGTCCTGCTCAGGTCAACGTGATTATGTTCATCCTCAGTATAACCATGCCAAACATCTCCCCTGCAGTACTCTACATGCTCTTTCCTAAAATGAAGAAATAATCACTGTTTTCTCACAAAAACTGGCACAAGTGAGCCTTGCAAGTGTCACGGATAGCTGGTCAGTGAGAAGAGTCATTGTAACAGAACCTAAAAGTTTAGGTATCTGTTAATATATTTATGGACCCAGAACACTGTGTTGCTAAATAAGTTGGTATTGTTGGTATAATACACAAACACATACTGCAAACAGACATGCTTCAGTGCTTTGGGTTTTTTAGAGGAGAAAAAACTTTTTAAAGAGTTTAAAATGGAAATGTAGCAAAGACTGTGATTAATGAGCTGAGCAATACAGACTACATTCTGTTTTCTGTGTCTGCTTATAAGATACAAACATACAGACATTTGGTTTTAATTTCCCCAGGCAATTTGTTAACTCTATTTCCTCCCTTCCCCCTTCAACCTCCTTTAAAATAAATCTCTAGCTAAATTAAATGGGCCAAATTAATCCCTAATGCAATTCTACCACAACTAGGATAGTTATCCTAGCGTGATGAGTCTTGTCCCTATATGATCAAGCAATCATTTGTATTTGAGACATTAAAAGCTCATTTACTGCTCTAAGAGTCTTTATTTGAATAAGAATTTTGTTCAAAAAAGCATATAAACATTTAGATTGACTGAAAGGGACATGTTTTCTGAAGAATGTAATCACTATTTGATGCATAGATATACTACAAAGTATAGGTATATCTGCAGATTTCTCCCTCCTTCCCCACCTCTCTCAGGATATAGTTCAGCTCATTGCAATAGGTCTTAGAAGCAGACAACCTCATAACACTGAAAATAGACCACAGGACCTTGAACATTATTTAAAACCAGCAAACAAACAAACAAACAACTCTCCAGCAATCTAGGATCTCTACAGAACACTTCCTACTGACAACACAGTTCAGTAACAATGGGTTAAAACCTTGGGCTTCCTGACCTTCTGCTTTACGGTCAGTCACTGCCACATGCGAATCCAAAGCATTTAGTATTTTGTTCACTTTTCTGTATAACCCTCCCACTTATCTTTTGATTACTGAGTATTCTGGCAACTACAATCCAGTCAGTATGTGGTTTATCTTCATTACTTGGGGTGCTGAACATCTTACTGCACTGCACAAAACGAGTGCACTTTGGAACACAGAGGGAAAAGGAACTGTTCATAAACTTTCCTAAGACACACACAGCACAGCAAGACAAGCACATGGCCTCACACCTTCCTAACAGCTGCCTTGGGAGGGAAAAGCAAAGATCTTTTGCAAGATCAGATATACAAAGTTGCTTCCTGTTACTGGTTTGAACATATCATGAGTTGCTTTTGATTAGAAGGTAACTACAAGAGAAATGGTTGTATTTATCTCTAATTATTGTAGAGTTAAATTAGATACGTTTATTACTCAGAGATTATGGAAGCCCCTCTATGCATAATATTAAAATCCAGGTTAATTACTACCTTCACTGGTTCTCTCTTGCTGTGAGTGATATCACAGCATAAACTAAGTCCTACTTAACATCCAGCTGGATATCATTTCTATTTAACTACTATTATTTTTTTAATTATTCATTTATTAACTAAAGAATTTAATTTCTCTCCTATAAAACACAAGCAAGATTATTTTTTTGGTAAAATTTTATTTTGACTTCTAAGAAAACAATAGGTGTAGAAGTTAACATCTTCCATAAAAACAGGGCTGTAAAACTCAGGAAATAACAAAATGTATCTTTTTTTTTTTTAATTTACATCCTAACGAAATCCAAAAAGTGATTAATTCCAGCTTCTAGCTTCCAAAGCATGCTTTTTATTCCACTACAGCAAGGACTGAAACATTAACACTTAAATTTATATAATATTACCTTTTCCTACTCTTCCTCCTCATAAAGCAAAAATAATTTGTAGCTAATTGACAAAGCAAGATCTCTCCTTCAACTGCATTAACAACTGCTTGAAGGCAACTGGGGCTGTGCATATATGTCTTAATAAATAAATAAAATCAAGGGTTTGTAGCATTTGAAACGGATTCAACAGAAAGAGAACACTCAGTGCTGAAATACTGAAAGAACATGAGCAGATGGAGCAAGTAGTTAAAGAGAAGTTTGCAGTGAAATATGGCAGCAATTCTGAAATAAATTAGAAATGAAAAATGCCAATAGACCAAAATGCTTTTCTATTTATGTTAAACTTTGGCACCTTGGTCAAGTAGTCAGACGGGTGGGTTGAGAACACAAACTGCCATTTCTGAGAAGGGAAATGGCAGTTTCAGTCACAGGGTAACCATTTCACAGCCTTCTCAAAGAAGCTGTTAACAGCAATGCGCAAACTCCCACCAGCATAGGGGGAGACATCACAGCACACATACTGGAACCCCCACCACTTCCCAGTTAGGAAGCCAGCAAGGGCTCTGCTAAAGGATACTCCCCAGACCACTGGTACTTCTGGGCTATTCCTCTCACCTTTGGGTGGCTGGAAGAGCAAGTCATCGTTCCTAAACCCTAATCTAGGCTGTAGGCTGTCTCTTTGATAGCTGTTTCAAAGGAATTTATTTTAACTCATGTTTTCAAGCTGTAGTTTGCAATCAGTCCAATTCTCTTACATACCTTGGATCAAGTAGACTCCTCAGAAACTGAAAGAGTAAGAACTGGTCCTGTGCAACAGGAGGAGACAGAGTATTACTATATGAGATAATCTGCTATAAACCAGTGATTCCTGCTATGTGCATTAAAGAAAATACTGTTCACAGCTGGTACCTGCTGAAGAAGCTGGTTTAGGCATTTATCTGGCACAAAAACTCAGAAGATATGTTTGCTGACAACAGCTCTGTCTGATCTGTGAGTGCAGTCCATACTGAACTCCAAACCAAAAACTGCACTAGCAAGCAATAAAACCAGCAACTCAGAGATCCTACATTTTTATAGGCAGAACTCTACAAACAGGCCAAATAATGTAAATGTACCAATTCTCACTGCTGAGCAGCTATCAAGCTCTTTTTCTTACCATTACTTTTAGCAACCATTTCTTACAAGAATGGCAACCCCACTGTAAAGAAGCGCCAACATCAGTGAAGTTTGATACTTTACCTGGAGGTTTGTAATGATGCGCTCAATCTGCTCACTGAAGTGAATGGCTACCAAGTCAGCTGCTTTACACGGGCTCAGCAACAGCAACTCCTGTGCAGAGGGAAACACAACAGAAATAATTACTTTTAATTTCACAGGCAATATAATTATGAAGTATCACCAACTCCATTCATATTGTAACTCCATCATTGCCTAGATAAAATCTGTAAAATAATAAGCACCATCACAACAGGTGATTTTGAAAAAAAATCGGAAGGGTAGTGTGTAAAGAGGCATTTTTGAACCCTGATAATTTTACTACTCAATGGGCCTTGTAAGAACACAAAAGTCTTCACACCAACGAGACCACATCTCAGTCCTAAGGTAAGGAAATTATTCATCAGGTTTTCTGACAACTGCCTTTTACCCCCTGCTAACAAGACATTCCTAGTGCCAACTAGGAGCCAGCAGTAGAGAGGAATTAAAGCCCTCACCTGACCCTAGGGAATTTCTCAGTCAAATGAAAACAGTGTTTAACTGCCTTGAACTGAACCATGCCAGAAGTTTAAAAGCAGGTTTCCTGTAACTGTTATCTGTAACTGATACCTGTCCAGACGTGAAAAAATCCTAAGCAATTTTTTTATTGTAAGAAAAGAAAAAAAAAAATCTAGATGCCTGTGGGTTTGCCTCCTCTCAAACATGATCTAAGAGGCTTCATATCATACAAGTTTACACAACCCAGAACATGAATGCTTTGCTCCTACTGCTTCCAAATGCATCTGTTCTTCCAAATAAATGAGAAGCAACTGCTTCAAACAAAAATGGGTACCTGGTAACCCTTCCCAAAAGCCCCTGCTAAGCCTACAAAGGAGAAAACATTGCTTTACTAAACAAAAACAACCCTTAAGTGGTAAAGAAAGAAAAATTTAATAAACATATATCTGGAAGAAAAAAATAATCTGAAAAAGTTACTTAGCACTAGCTTGGTCTCCAGACAGATGTAGCAGCCACCAAATTCAGCCAACAGACCAGGGTGAAGGGAACAAAGGAAGTAACAAGGAAGAGTGTGACTACTTCACAAGCTCTTTAAAGCAGAGTTATCACAGAAGATGCACTGTGTGAGGTTTCCAAAGCAAAATTTGTCTACCATACTGTATGTAAATAAACTCTGCAGTGTTTGACTCCGGAGCTTCACTGCATGGGCCACAGCTCTTAGTTGCTTCCCCAGCACTCAGGAGCATGATCCCTTCATCTCACAAGCCCAGGGAATCCAAAGGACCCAGAAGACCTTAACCACAACAGCACAGAGGAGTGCAGAGGGGATGTAGTGTGATTGCCTTAATTTGTTTCTCTCTGGACAAACCCTCCCTGGGAGTCTTCGTGACTGCTGAAGATAGGACTGACTGGCTGGAGGGAGGTGGCCCAGCCTCCCTGTAACTGGCTGCAGCTCTTGAATCGATGTGACCTTCACAGCCTACTCCCAAAGAAAAGGTTTTGGGCATGGATTTTCATCCTCGCCCAGGTTTGAACAATTTGCAAACATGGTACTTCTTAGGCAGACAGCCCTTGAGGAGACAGTACTGACACAAGGCATGTGGGTCTGATTACAGAAAGTGACCACAACAAACAGCACTCTGACTGAAGAGAAACCTTACGCTTTATTTTCAATATAAACATCAAGGAATGACAGCTCTGTAGGATAATGCAGAAAATATGAAGTGGCACTGATCAGAAACCTCATTTTCTGTCATACAGTCACCAGGAAAGCCTCTCTAAAATTGTTAGTTTCAACTGAAGTGGCTGGTTTGCTACTTTCATATCTTGGCAGATGAAAGGACAGCTGTTCAAAGACCTGAAATCACAGCACCACCCTAGTAAAATGTTATTAACTATTTTAAGTCTCCTGAATGTCTGAGAGCAGAATTAATGGAATGGAGAAGAACAAAAGCCACTAGCTGCCAATAAGCTGCTAAACCATACAAAATTATATATACTGTTCACCAATCCTAGGAAATAGAACATGCTGAAAGGAAAGAGGAAGTTGACCTCAGGGGCAGGACCCAAGAAAGGTGACCTACAGAACCAATCATCTGCCCAACTGCTTTTTGAGGAAGGTGCAAAAAGCATAGGTAAAAGCAGCTGGCTGTTATCTACAAGGCTGATAGAACAGTGCAAGAAACCCTGTTTTTAAGGATGGCCATGGGCAAGTTGAGAGGAGTATTTCCTGTTGTTGGTCAACTTCAAAAAGTATGCAGCTCTAACAAGTTGGGCACTGTACAGTAATCAAGAAGTGACTTCAGACTGAGAAAACAAACCCAAACAACTCAATATGAAAAGCCAGCAGTCTTGTCCAACAAGCTTATCAAAACCAGTACAACACAATGAGAAACATCAGGAAGGGCAACTCAGGACATTTCTGATTTGTCCTGAGACACCCAAGCATGGAACAGCAATTTTTAAAGCCTCAGGCTAAAGAGAACCAACAAGGAGACCTACCTGTGATTTGATAAGAGACAAAATCAGGCTTACAGAGGGAGGCTGACTCAACTCAGAACGCCAAACAATTTGGGCTGTATATACCAATACAAGCAGAGACAAGGGATGCTGTAGGAGAAGAATGAGGCAGACCCAAGGAAGCAGCACAGTAGACTGCAGTTTGCTCAGCCTGGAAGCCCACCGTGGAACCATGATTGCTCTGATGAAGTAGCAGTGAGCCAGGCCCACTCAGTCACAGCACAACCATCACCACCAATTCCCACAGAGTCTGAAAGTGCATCTGGAGAGTGGGCATGAGTTCAGTGAGCTGCATGTCATACAGCTGGATTCACAGGATTTCTCTGTTTATTGTTTTTTGAATCATTCTCCCCCTTGGTCCATTTTCTCATTAGACACGCACTATTTGCAGATGCTGGTAGAGACTAAAATAATTCTGTATCTTTCAAATGTAGCTAGTACTTTTTTGTCCACCGCACAGGATACAGACTTCTCTGGCCATTTTCTGCTAAGTAGTCACGGTAAGTGCATGACTGCTTGTTTTATAGAGTTATTTTCCTGGCTTATGTCCAGATCACCCTGGAGGGGACTGATACCACCTTATAGGAGCTAGAGATATTATGGATTCCTCATGTCTACTGACTGAACAATTATTTCAGACACATCTCCATCCCCTTGAAGCAAGGAGAGATTGAAGAGATGGGAAAAATTATCTAGAGAAGTCTAGCAACAGTCTGCATCTTACAGTAGAAGTCATGACCCCATCTTCCCACAGGTCAGAAGTGCCAGGGTACCAAGACTGAATGCTATTATTATTGTAAGATCAGGAATTTGATACCACGGACTGTGAAGTCAGTGATGTCAATGTCCTGACCTTGCTGCTACACGCTTAGGAGATCAAAGAACTGCTAATGGATCTCTTCCCTGCTACACAGCACTCACTAGCCATCACCCCTGATAAAGTCCCATTATCCAAAGAGCTATACTTGAAACCAGGAAACCAAGGAAGCCAGTCCGAATCTAATAGATGCACTTATATTAATGTACAAGATTACTAAACCTTAAAGTCAGAGCTTTCTAAACAGCTGTGATTTGACACTGTGACACTTCTGCTTACAGAACAGCACTAGGCAGATCCAACAGGAGTCAGCAGTAGCTGAGGTACCACGGGTTTAAAATACACTATACCTCTATATGTTCCAAAGCTTTCTGCCACACCAACCGCTTTTCTTCAGCACTGTAGCCAGGCATGGACAGGATGTTGTGAATATAGTTGAAAACTTCTTCCTGTAAGACATAAAACCATAAATGGTGTAAGTATGTTCTGCAGCACCACAGGCAGAGTTAGATTTAGGGAAGGAAGAGCATTTCAGTCTTAGGATGACCTCTGGGTCAGTCCTCTCTTAACAAGTCAGGATAAGTTATCTGCCGGTGAGACTATATGTCCCTAAATAGCTCCTGAAGAACTGTGAGGAAAAAAAGCCAAGATGAACAGAGTTGATGCTAAACATGTTAAGCACTGAAGTCAGAGGGAATTGTTCTTCCACTATTAGCAATGTCCCCCTCTTGCTCACAGGGAAAAAGGACAGGACATCGCTCTTTAGCTAGAAGCACAGGCAGAGAAGAATGCTCTACCAGAGAGTAGGTCAGTTTTCCCCACATATTCCTGAATTCCTCTTCAGCATTAGCCTCTCCCACAGGTTCTCCTGCACTGTCCTCAGCGTACCATATTTTTTGACCATCTCAATATCACAATGTATCTCTTCTGACTCCTTCACCCACACAACTTTCAGCGTAGTGGTTTCATAAGGAGCTGGTGACATCACATTTGCCAGACTCTCCTCCCAACTTCTGTTGGTGGCAGGGAAGAGAATACCTCAAAAACCGTGGCAGATATACAACTTCCAGACATGCGGAAGCTAATTGCAAAGAGATAGTAAGGGCAGAGAGGCTCTATCCAGGGGGAGAAAAGAGGGTACTGATGGCAGAAACAAAGAAGTATTGCAGTTAACAAATTTGCAATAACTCCCACCTTGCACTCAGGTTTTATGTATGAGCATTGTTTAAAAAGAAACAAAAAACTCTGAAGCTTTAAAAAGATCAACTCCTCTCCAACACACAAGCACAAAAGCCTTGACTATAAGAAAACCCAACTGTAAAGGAGGACACTTTTTAAGATCGAGAAGTATGACAGAAGAGCAGGGCTGCTGTGCCCATTCACACTATTGCCAGCAGGACAGGCTGCACTGCTGTGAAGAAGAAAAGCCAGAACTACCAGATTTACTCACTTTTCTCACTGGGTCACGCAGGTAACAGCCAATTATCTTGTCATAGCGAAGCTCTCGTTCATACATGAACTCACATATCTGATAGCTAAAATGAAAAATACTTTCCACATTAGGAAAACACACTCAGCTGAGTCAGCAGAACAGAGGTAGGAAGCTCAGATCCAGCACAGTTTGGCAGCACTCAAAAGAAAATACAGTATGTTTTTAAAAAAACATTTGGAAGTATCTTACATCAAGGTTTTCAGCACACAGTTTACATATGCTGCTTGGTACCAGGCACAGGCCAATCAGCCTATCAACCTCCCTCTTTTGGGGAAGTTACCATATAGAACAGAGAAAACCAGAGTTACTAAGGTGAGAGGCAAAGGACAGAGGACAAAAATCCTTCAAGAAATCAGGTTTCTGTTCATAGATCATCTCCCATATTTCCATAACGCACTCAGCTCTACTCTAGGACAATCCACAATACTAATTTGAAGAAATAGGCTTAATATACTCAATAATGTGTTATGACACAGCTTCCTACCTTCACATTTTAATAAACAAATATCTTGAGACTTTAGATAAAAACAGATATTACTAGAGGCAAAACAAATGAAAAGTGTGCTAAATAACATTACACTATAGGTCTTCTAGTTGTGATGGAAGTGGCTGAGCTGGTGGTTCTGGCAGCTAAACTCTCTGAAGCAAGGATTAAAAAAAAAAATGCATTTCTTGAGTCTGAAAAATTTGGTTAACTCCTTCTAGGACACACAGGGAAACAGGCATGGCATACCCCACCACTGCGCTTCTATCCCTCTGATCCTCTGTAGTGTGGTGGACTGATTCACACAACATCCAAAGTCAAGACCTGGATGAAGATGCCCTCCCCAGCTGGCTCTATTCAGGCATGACAGACTCCTTCTGGAAGCATAAAGCATGTAAAGGCGATAGTGGAAATTTTTAGCCTTTCCAGACACTGTGTTTGTTTCTCCTACTCAATTCTAAAACGAGTACCATGGGGGTGGCTTCAGACCCCTTCGTGCTTTTAAATCCACCTGTAGGTCTCACCCCAACGAGTCATCTCCATCTGTCAAGTGGTAGAGCATTCAAATATACCACTATACCTTTGAACAAAGCCTGGGGTCTAGGATAGGAAGTGCCAAAACTCATCAAGCCCCACAGGATTTCACGCTGAAGGGTTTTCCACAGCTCCACCCCCTCTTATCTTAACAATGCTTTCTGTAAGAACACCCAGTAGAGAAAAGACAGAAAGACTGGGGCTAAATATGAACATATTAAGTGAAGCATATGTGAATGCATAGGGAAAATAAACCCAAACACAGCTGCAAAGCAGGAACAAGAAACGTGGAGGAAAAAAGCTCTAGAGGAGATTTAGAGGCAGTATTTAAATACCATACATAAGACTTAAAAAACAGTATTCATATATTGTACACAGCAACTTACAATTCAGCTTTTTCTGCCATTTGGATAAGACGGCTCTCTTCAAACTGTACTATCCCTCCTGCCTGGAGCAATTCTAAAAGGACCTGCAGATATTGAAGACCAGTTATTTATATTGCAGTAGCAGCTGGGCAGCCAGTGCCATTAAAAGTACACTGCTCCTGCTCCATTAAACTTTGTATTAACACATTCTTTCTTTTAATTGATTGTCCTTTACTTATGAAGGTCATGCACTTATCCAGGACTTTCCCATCTCTGTTCTTACTGCTGTCAAACCTCTCCTGCAGGCAATGCTGGGGTAGGATCCTCCCTCACTCCTGCTGTGTACAGCACTGCCCAATTCTTCCATGTTGGCCACCATTCCTATGCTAGGTGTCTGCTTTGGCACGTGACCTCCAACCAACATCGCTCCCAAGGAGGCTGAGCTCTGCTCTACACTCTGGTCATACCTGGTGCTTAAAGAGATGTTCTCTTGAAGGTTATTACCTGCTGTCTCTCTGAATGGCGGGAGTCATCATCCGGACTGCACAGAAATTCAAGGACCTGTGCAAGGGTGTAGAAGTTAGCATGAGTTAGGCCTAGTTAGCATAGATGTTAGCATAAGCCAACTGAGCACCAGTAATGGCAATGGCAAATCAGAATACAATGGTGCAATTTATTCATGTGAGGTACTCTCTGCTTGGTCCTGTAACTAAGCTCACTTAAGAACACTGAAGTAACCAAGAACTGCTGAAAGGCTCTAGGGAGGGAAACCCATGACTCTGCACCAGGATCTTAAACCAAACATTTGGGAACCCAGGGACTATGGAAGAATTCAGGGAACCCCATGGCCCTGCCTTGGACTACACACCAGACTGCTAGAACCACTACACTGACCCTCTCAATTTCTCTCCTGGACTGTGCCATCTCTCCCAGAAAAACAGGAAATCATGTAATTCATAGTATTTAATATATCTGTAGTTAAAATGTTTAACCCAAATCTTTTTAGCCTCCAGAGTTCTTTGGACTTAAATTATGACAAAGGAGATATATTTTCTATCTCATATTTTATTAGGGTTCACATATCCATATTATCATCAAAGCACAACTGCTGTAGCCATTGAAGCCTCCTCCTCAGTCCCAGGAATTTCTGGGACTTAAACTGGGATATAAACTTAACCCTTGCAAGCTTCAGGCATGCATTGGGGTGTATCAGCCTGTTTCAAGCAGCAGCAGTACAGTGGCCACATGAAAGAGAAATTACCAGCTACATATACGTGCTATATAAACTTGCTACTGTCATTTTAGTTGGCACCTTCATACGCATTAACAAATGACAATATTGTCATCAAAATGCCAACTTGGGCTTAAACAGCTTGATTCTGGCCCTTATGGGCCCTTACTTTCCCTCTCATGACAAACTAGTGGCCACAGGCATCTGCATTCCGCGGAGAAGAGCAGATGCTGTTCCACCTCCTAGGACCTGACCCTACTTCTCACACGATTCCAGCAGGCAAGCTGAAACACACTTACTGTGCTTCTGCGGTCTCTCCTAATCCATTTCTTTGAAATCACAGTAAAGTCCCAGAAAGATGCTACCTGTTTTATAATGCACCAGGAATTGCTCCAGCCTACAGCAATAGCCACACTTTCTGCAGTGCTGCACCCTGTTAGGAATTTTTGCCCCCCCTCACAGAGGAATACTTGCCTGGTCAAAAAGTGTCCTGTTCACAAACAATGTGTTGTTGGGCTTGGCGAGCTGACGGGCAAGGAAGGTAAAGAGACAGCCAACCTGTGACGGGGTGAAGTCAGAATTCTCTACCATGACCTGAGAAACATTAGAGAGAAAAGGGAAAAATAAAAACACAAGTGATTTATTCTGCAACTGCCTTTGGGAAAGCAATCAGGTCACCGCAACAAGAAATCCCTGTACAGCCATCATGTCTCCTCCTACCCTAGACATCTACACAATCTCCTGGTGTTAGTCCATCCTGAAGGCCTACAGCTAAGACACATTCCATGGCATTTAACTGTGTTACCTGAAGACACAGACAGTGGATGTGTCACAGAATGGTTTGGGTTGGAAGGAACCTTAAAGATCATCCGTCCATGCTAAATCACCTCTGTCCTGAAGCTGAAGAGGCTCAACTTCTCCGCAATATACTCAAAGGAAGTATTCTTGCATGTCCCTGATTTTTGAGTGTGAAGGGGGACTCCAACAAAAATCCTAAACACTAAAGAAAAGTTAAATGCCCCTGTTTGGAGAGTCCCTCTCTAAGAGCAGTGGGTTTAGCTGTGAGGAAATCTATCACCTTAACAACTCTGTCAACTAACATCTAAGAATTGCTCTAGCAAATCCTAGACAGGGTCCATCTCCCAGTTTATAACCTCAGTCTAAGGTTGGAACAGACAACTGATCTCCTAAAGTGACCTGGAGTTCCAGATCCCCATGAGATGCTAATGGTCAAGTGGAGGCAGACAGGTAAGACACATTAAGGAATCAAGTAGATTCCTTAATCTCTGCTTGAAACATCACCTAATTCTATAGTTCTTTTTTAATCTTCATTTTCTGTTTAAAAAGGCTACTTCATACAGGAGCCTAGTCAGGATAGTGTTAGCATTTAAAATATGGAGTATTTCACTGATTTTCACTTTGTTTTTCACAGAGTCCTTGTTGGTCCATATGAAGGTGAAAATACTGTACCTCTGAAACAGAGCAACTCTACAGAGGCTGCAGGCCAACAACACGGACTTTCTAAAAGATGATATATTTGGCAAAGTTTACATCAGCATTAGGAGAACGTCTATGTTGACCAAACTATTTTAAAAGCACAGCTATTTCCCAAGTGGGATTTTTGCCAATGATAAATTTAAATAAAATGTTCCAAAATTTTTTTTTTATTTTTATCCAAAAGGAGAGCAGATTCCTGACCAAGGGACTGACAGTTCTCATAACACCAAATTGTTTGCCTGGAGATGCATTTAATCCTGCAGCACTTCTAACAATTGACCTCCTTTTCCCCTCCAAGAGCACGGTTGAATTCTCTTGTGGTGGACATTTGTTACATGGCCAGCAGCACAGAGTCAGGGCAGTAAACAGCTCGATCCAGCCCACCACAGGACACATCCCACAGTAGCTCCAGAACACAGCCGCAGTGTGCCACCTCCTGCTGACAGCAGCTAAAGACACAAAAAAGCATGGGCTAACCCAGCACAGGGCTAACTAACAGCCTTACAGCAACATCCTACTCAGGCAGGCTCACAAAAGTTCCCCACCAGTGGCATTATCTCAGCCTCTCCAACACAGCCTAGTGCAGCAGTGCTGTCACTGAATCCATTCACTGGTGCCCTTGCTCTTGTCTATCAATGATGACAGTGACAGGGAAATGCTACTTACGATCTGTTTATACATAAACAGCTTCCAAGTGGAGTTACTCATTATTAATGCTGACAGCTTTGAAGGGGAAAGCAAACTGCATTTGTCAGCAATAGCTTTTAATGAGAACATTCATTGTTAAGGAACACAGTCTGCAGATGACAACTGATTTCTAGAGCATCAGGCTGATAACTCTGACATTCCTCTTCTCTCCCATTTACTAAAGATAGGCTTGTCATTCTGAGTACGTTATATCCCAAACACAGCAGTTACAGATATGGGGAGCAGGGTTTTATCAGAAGAGCACTGGCATCCTGCCAAGCACAGGATTCCTGGGACCTTTTTTCCTGTTCAGAAGGAATCAGGGACCAGAATCAATGAGAAAAAGATAAAAATAAACTTAGTGCACAGAGGAGAAATTTGACAACACAGTACAACCCAGCTGAAATCACAGACAGGAAAGGAGACCTCTCTGTCACTGTATTTAAGGTGCATGAAGCATCACTTCTAAATATCAAACCAACAGCCCTGACTGAGGCAAATCCAAGTTCCAACCCACCACCTTCTCAGAGGGGTCATCCAGGGTAGGACTGGAAACACTTCATTCAAATTACAGCCTGTACTGCACAGTGTTGTGTACAATCAGTCAGATGTAAACACAGAGGTTCATTTTTAGGCACACTCACTTTCAGAAGTATGTCCACAATTCTCTGTTGATACTCCACAGCTTGCTTGTCATTCTTAAAGTCTTCAAAAGTCTGCATGAGGCAAAACACTGACACCTTAAGAAGAATGCTCTCCACTGCCAACCCCAGAAACACAAGCAAACACAAAGAAGTAGCCTTATCACAAAGCTGACAACGCCTTCCTGCGCATATCACCTAAGCAGCAGGTTCCAAGATGCAATTTACTCTTTTGTAACTATCAACATTGTTCTTACATATTGAGTAAAAGCAATAGGTCCAAACAGACAAAGGCAATTCCAAGAAATGTGGAAAGGAAGAAAGATTAATCTTTAGGCAGGAGAAAGATGTAGGTACTAAAACACTTTACAAATACATTGTTCTTGTTTTACCTGTGCTTTAAACATGGCCTCTGTTACTGGAGTCTTCACGGTATAATGTCATGTTCATCAACTCATATTTAAGGACATAAAGGACTATTATGATCTCCTCTGATATCTTATAGAACACACATCAAAACCACTCCTGCATCAAGCCAGTAACTACTGGTTTAGTTAATGCATGAACTTTTTAATGGAAATCCTACAGATCACACAAGCAATGACATAGATGATGGAAGAAGTGGTGTAGTATTTTTCTCTCAGAGGAGATCAGCAATCTCTTACCAGAGCAAGAACATTAAGGAATTCCCGAGTGTCAAAGTGCAGCAAGGTACGAACATAAGGGTAAACCTCTTCATCCACAGATCCCTCAGTTGAATGCAGCCGGATGAGAAATTCAAAGACCTGCAATGAAAATTCAAACACAGCAGATTTCCTATGGATTTCAGAAAACTGACAGCACAAGCACATGGGAAAGCAGCATCGTTACCTGCTTTTCACTTAAGCTTTAAAGAGCCTTAGGAGTCCATGAGTGTTCTTGAATTATGTTTTCTGTGCCTTGTTAGTAGGAAAAATTTGCGCCTCCTTAGACTCACCAACCAATTTAAGATAAAGCAAATTTTAAGATCAAGCAAAAATTAAAGTTTATACTTGCAGACGGAAGAGTGTGAAATTAGGTAACTCCTTCCCCTTCCTGGCAGCTCTCCTGAGAAGCTGTGCAACTCCTCCTTACCCAGGGCACAGCTCCTCTCCTTGTCAGCAGTTCTCTTGGGAAGAGCCCATCAATCTGTCCCCTCACTTTGAGACACAAAGCTTTTTGGCACTGCAAGGACTGGCTTAGGTGATATACAACTCAATCTCCTCCACTGACTTCCTATTTACTGAGATTTGAGAGTGCTTTTCAAAATGAAGGCAACTTCTTTTACTCAACCACTGACCAGAGCTGTCCAAGCCCACCCAGGGAACAAACAACAGCAACAGCTCCAGTTGTCTCACACGTGCACACAACAGGTCTGGCTACCAGCAGAAAGAGAGCAGACTGCTGCAGACTGGCTATCACTCAGGAGTATGTGTTAAGACACATACTGGGATGCCATGGAGAATGACAGGCAATACAGGCTCCCAGCCATCCTCAGGAACTGCCATGTTCTCTCATTTACTTCTATTCCAAGTTAATTTTCCTGTCACCACAGTGGCAGTGAAGCCAGGAGGAGTTAGCAGCTTAACTTTCAGATCCACAATCTTCTCTGTTGGCTTCCTCAAACCTGATACCTACCTTACAGTGAGAAACTCTTCAGAAAACAAAACAAAAAACCCCAGACTGTAGCTAGAGCGGATTTAAGTGTCCAGATGGAAAGGTGTTACTTAAACCAAGCTCTCAGGAACACTATCAGAGATCATAAAAAGGAGAGGTTGATGGTTCCTCCCCAGAGCTACTGCTGCTGGTTGGGCTATCACTTCCCCTCAGACCTTGAGCCACAGTCTGTTGATCTGTCAGCACTAGTGTGTGCAGGGAACAACTTGATAAGGACCATGGGAGAGGGCAACAGCCTAGTGCTGCAGACTGGTTTGCACACACTGCGAGGAAAGCCTCTGCAGTAACCGAGCTACTATACACATATAACTACAAACTCTGGATTAGGAAAAAAACCCAAAAGATACCCCAAAAAACCCTCCACTTCACAATCAAAAAAATATCTGTTCCACTGTACTGCAAAGAGAGACTACAAAAAAGCACTTCCTCTTACTGAAACCCTGAAACTAGAGCAAAATGCTAGAGACCCCAAAAAGAATATTTGTGGTAAAACTGGCCAGAAACTCAGGAAGGTTTATGAGGTTTATGAGCGCAAAATTATTATTACGAGCATCCCCTGTTTTAATAAATTGTCAGAGATGACTTCAAAGGAGCTAAGTTTTGCCTTAGGCCAAGCTTCAGACACAGATTAAAGAGAAAGAAATAGTCAGCTTGAGGGCTCTGATGGACATAATGAAAAGGAAAGATTTACTTGGAAGTGACCAAGCCAACTTTCACAACACTAAAGTATGACCTGCAGGTCTAGTCATACTTTTGGCATAAGTTCACTGTGATTTTATCTAGGTACTCTCTCCCTACGATGAAACCATTAAGAACATGCTCACACCTGCCCTGAACAAATATATAAGGCATATGCAATAATACTTGTTGCCTTGAAACAACCGGCCGATCTCTTGGGCAATCTAGATGGAAAAGGCTATTTCTGCCGATGTGAAAGCTACCATCACAGACTCAGAACAGCATGATGAATCTGGTCAGCCAAAGATGGCTCACTGAACATGGTGGCAAAGAACAACATGAGATGCAGCTCAGGAATCCAACCTTGTCCCAGAGGACAGTAGGACAAGCCTGCTCTGTCACAGGGTAATAGCAGCAAGCTTTAAGGCATCAGTTGCTGTTCCTCAAGTGCCCTGGGAAGATGATTTGGATGTTAGGTCACAGTTCCTCCTAGAGGGACTAGGCAGAACAACAAAAGATGGGTAGTCAGTCTGTGGTCAGCCCACAGGGTGTAAAACAAGCAGCTTCAGAGCCTATAAACATAGGTACAGAACTTCTGAAGCAGCTAAGATACTGCCTTATAAGCGGAATGGCTGGACATGCTCAGGGCCAACTGTCCCAAACTAAGGATGCCCAAGATGGGTGGATGAAGAGGAATGTAGTACCAGCCTATTGCCTCCTAATCAGAGCTGGAACAGACTGAGAAAGCAGACAATCTTAACAGTCACAAGACTGAATAATATCAAGCCGTGGGTTGCTTTATGCCTTTTCTCAAGAGAACGAAGAAACTAGTTACCTTTTAAGTTGTCTCAAAGTGGCACTGACTATCAGAAAATGGAAATTGTCTTTCCAAACACCATCACTGTGGAATAAGCCTTCATGTTCTGGGAAAGCCTCTTCCCTTCAGTGCTGTGGGCAGGAGGCAGTAATAAGGACATCAGGGAAGGAGTTGTCAAACTTTATTGTGCAAGGAGGCCAGAGGTATTGTATTCAAGGCAGGAAAACTCCAATGCAAACTGGAGTTTTATCAACAGCCAAACAGAGGAAGGAATATTTACTTAATGTTCTTTGATGTTAGCTCACTTTCTACTCCCGTCAATCCCATGTTACATGCATTTGAAAACAGGGAAGATCCTCCCATATCTGATATGTCATAGTCAAGTTTAGAATGAAGAAACAGCTATAAAGTTCTGGTAACTTTGTGGTAAAGAATAAGGAAAAAGAACAAACAAATTTAGCGCCACTAAGAACTCAATGTTCCCACACCCCAATTTAGAGCTGAAGGAAAAATATTTTTTTAAATGGTCAGATTCTGTTCAAACAATCCTTTGATTTAATTCTTTAAAAATTTAATTGGTATTTACAGTGGTATGTACTCATATCACAAGGATACAGCTACAAGACTGACAATAGTTTTCTATCAGAAATCCATGAAATAAGACATAAACAGCTCCTAAAAACCTCATACGGAAAAGTTTCCTTTCAAAAGTTTGCTCACCTGATTTTTAACCAAAGGTACCAGATCTTCAGGAATATCACCCAATGGATACGCACGGCCTGCCAAACAGCAGCTATAGAAAAGGAGGGGAAAGGTATTTTAAATACATCCTGACATTAAACAGATTGAGGAGAACAGTTTATTTTTTAAGTTAATTTTCAGGATGCTCTTAAAACAAGCCAGACAAATTTATTTCATAAAACATGACAGCAAGCATTGCAGACAGCACTGCTGTTAATACACAGTAAGCCAATGCACTGCATCAATTTGCATCTGAGGTATGCCATTCCACAGCAGAAAAGTAACCAGGAAACTCAGTATTTTCTCACAAAAATCTTTACTCTTGCATTTTAGGAAGCAGGAGTAATGCAGAATCTAATGTGCACAATCTTGAATAGATTCCAGAAAGAGGAATTCACTAATTAATCACTACTGTGCAATCTCAGAATGACCTCCTGCAAATGATAGGAAAACACAGTAAGCAGCAGCTGAGCACAGTTATCCCAAAAGACATAGCAGAAAGGGCTAAAATAACAGCTTTTCAGGCTAAAGAGTCCTTGTTCAAGGAGCAGTGTGCCACACACAGGACAAAAGAACTCACTCTAATTGATTTCTAAAGACATGGTCTTGGCTTACCAACAGTAACTTGAGCTCTAAGTCTCAAACTTTATCCTACCTATCCACTCACAAGATGTGTAACAAGAAGCCACTGTAACTTTTACATCAGCTGTACAAATTAGCCATTGCTATTTTATGCCAGACCTTGAAACACACTAAGCTTATGCAACTACAGTGACATAAAAATCTGGTGCCACCACTAGGCAACACCTCATACACTTTCTAAAGGACCTTACCTTATATATACAAGCAGCTTGTTGCCCATTACCACCTGCTCATCTACAAAACAAAAATTGTCACCTTTTCTTCACGAGACAACATACAGAGATTCAATTCTTTTTCCCAGCTGTTAGCAAAACATCTCGACACACATGCACAGTTTTACACACAGAAAGTTGAGCAGCTTTACATACAGTAAATAGTACTAGAACACAAAATTTTCAGTTCTCCAAGACCCTTATATTGGATATATATTCCTTTTTTGCATCCCTCTGTTGAAGTGACTAGAGATAGTCAAAACATCACATATCAAAATTAGAAACCCTTAAAGGGAAGGAATTCTGTACCTGTGAGAGACTTCCCAGCATTCAGTGGAGGAGCAATGACTTTGAACAGCTTCTGTAACAAGGAAGGCAGTGCTCAAGCAGCTGGAAAAGCTCAACGCAAAGAATCTGCATGGTTTTAAAGCAGAGATCAATGGGGCCTCTTTCCCCAAAGCTGCGCTTTCTCACTATGTCTTATAACTAAAAGGTGCAGAGGACACCAAGATGTGGCAAGCTTTTCCCAGCTGATGTTATGACATATGAAAAAACAGCCTTCATTCAGTCAGATCTAACCCTAAGCACAGTTCACACTTAAAAAAAGCAATGTTCACTAGTCCCAAAAAGAATGACCAGCCCTGCTTCCTGTTCTTGAAGTTTCTGCCACTAGAGACTATGCAAACCTTCAGTCCACCTAGCAGGGTCACCAAACCCTTTGGTTTGGGTGTGGAGAATGAGGACTCATCTAAATACTTAGCTCTAGAAAGCAGAAAAAAATTATCTGTCCTCATACAGTTAATGCTAGGTTTCCAGAAGTCCTTTTTAAAATGATGAACACCTAAAAAGTCTCCTTCCTGGAAAAAAAAAAGTGAAATGAGATTATAACTGCTAGAAATTGGGCATTTTAAGATTTTCACACTCAAATGGACTCAGCTCTCTATTTCAACACTACAGAGAAAATACCAGCAGCATGCTTCCATAATGAAACATCGTAATGTTACAGCTATAGGCTTCAAGAGCAACTGGTATCTCAGGCCCATCTTCAGGATTACAAGCAGCAGCACCAACAGGGCCTTCACTTACAGCATTACACTGAGTCCTGTGCTTACTGCTAATGGATCACACCCAAGTGCTAGGAACAAAGCCTACCTCCCTGCAAGGACTGCTTCTAGCCTTTTTTCTGAATTGTGTACACAGGTAAGGTCACCCTTTGTTTCTATTACAGTTTAATACGTATTAATATACTGTTGTGGCAGCAGAGGAAGCAGTATGAAGGAAAAAAAAATCAGGTGGTGTTCGTAGAACCTCTCACGCCTACACCTCCATTAATTCCATTGTGCAGAGAGTTGATACTTTCACAGCATGTCATGCCACACAGGCCAGGCTCACCACCAGCAACAAAGCTGCTCGCAGACAGTTTTGCAATACAATCTCTTTAAGCCATCATGTTATTCTCTTGTGTTGCTTTTGTTTTACATTTATTTTATTAACAGGACAATTTCCTACAGAGCTTTGCTACCTCAGCAGGGAAATTTGTGTTCTAAAGCACAGTAATTACAAATTACTTTTCTCCTTTACTGCATCTAGACAAATAAACTGCATATTATCATATGTGATTTCTCCCTTTAAATGAAAAAAAAAAAAGAATATATATACACTGAATGAGAAGATAATGCATTGGGTTTGAAATGCTGTTTCTCAGAGACTGTGCACAAATAAGAGCTTGCTGCACTGAGCATCTTTCCTACCTCCATAGGACTAATGAAGTCATTCATTCCACTGTTGTAGACATAGATCATGGCATCATAGAGATGGTTTTCCCAGCACAGAAGAACTACCTGCAAGGGAAACAAAGCACAGTGTACATACAGAGCTGGCCTTAGCTCACAGTTTTCTTTCTACAGTCTCTCAAATACAATCCCTGTCCTTGCATTTGCATCATCTGACAGCACGACTTAAAGCAGAATGAGAATTTCCAATTGCAGAACTAGTCTCTTGCAAGGATTCCAAATCCCCAAAGGGCCTATCCAGCTTATTGCTCATGCAGCAAACATGGAATCTAACTGTCTAGATTCTAACATTCATGACCTGTATGAGGTTAAGGAATAAAAAAAAAAAAACAATCAGTTCTTCAAAACCTTTGATTGCACTAGTTCTCCTTTTGGTTGAGTTAGTAAATTGATTTCTCAAGTTCCCAAGCAGTTCTCTCCTTGGAATGCAAAGCTATGCTGTGGGAATAAAAACTGGCCAAGAAAAACAAGACTACCCAGCAGGAACACCTCCTTGCTCCACTAACTTTGTCACACAAGTGCAAGCACATGAGGAGAGCAGGCTGGCAGGCACCAAACTGACAAATGCAACTCCAGTTTTTTGTGCTCCTGAAGCCTTTGATGTTAGGCAAGGTACTCAAAACAGGAAAGACCAACCGTGAATATCAGACTAATCCTGATGGACTAGTAGTTTCCAACACATTCAGCTGCTGATGCATTAACCTATGCCAGGACACAAACTGGGGTTGCAAACATGTTTATAGGAACATGTGTGCTACAGGATGGAAATAACCATGCTAAATAATGCCCACACTCATTGCATTTGATCCCAGGGACACAAGGCTAAGTTCTGCTATAAATTAGTGACCAAAAGGCATGAATGGCTTGAACCACATAAATCTTGTCTGTTGAAAGGTGATACCTTGTTTTCCACATGCCATGCAGTACTCAAAAGCACAAGGAGTTTGCACCATTGACTGTCATTTATTCAGAGGATGTCATTTATTCAGAGGCACCCAATACAGCACACAGTACAACAGCTCACCTGCTGTATGTCTAAGCTGGTGATATCCATATGCACAATGCAGGCTTCCAAATTTTCCAACCTGTTCTTGTCTTGGAAGTGAAGCAGTAAGTCTTTCATCACTTGAGCTGTGATTCCCATCAGCTTATCACTTAAGATATATGGCTCCAAGCACTCCAGAAAGATGCCTTTAGCTACAGAATTCTCACCCATCTTATCATATATCTGGTTAAATAATAGATCCCTAGGAGGAAAGAAGTGTTTAGTTATCAAATAATCTTACTAAAATCTCCTTACTTATCTACTCTGAAGGCTCCAAATTAAATTCTGTTTTCTCTGTATTTCAGAGGCTGAATGCCCTGTTACTACACTAATGCAGGTTACATGCAGCTACACAGAATAAATTGACTATGGATGCTGCAGCAAAAAACCTGCTGTTAGAGGGGAAATGATGTTGACAGGAAAAATCTATCAAGGCAGCTTCTTTCTTAAGGGGATGATGTGGGGGAAAGTCTGAAGCAAACTTTTCTTCCTCAACACAGCAATGAAAATTTAAGACACACTTTTCTTTGAGTACCGAGTACCCCAACCTTACTATCAGCTTTTAAGCATTCCTCTAAACTGTGATGTGATATATGATATGGCGACGATGTGATACTAGAGGCAGCAGCACTCAGGACTACATGGGTTGGTGGTCTGCCTTGGGAGACAGGCTTGCAAACTCAGACTTACGTGCGCTGGAGCAACAGACAGTAATCAACTATGACAGGCACCACGTCCTGCAGAAGAAACATAAAAAAAGCTGTAGGGACTGGCAAAAATCCTGCCAAATAGCACATCCTGCAGAGAACAAAATGAAGCCTGGCCAATAGAGAGCAGAATCACTGAGTTATCTGAATCAGCTGGTAGCTGGCACAGTTACAGGTTTTCCCATATACTGGTTCATATGGAGAAAAACTCTAATCACACCTCTGCAGAGGTTTTGCTCTGCTGCCTAGCTGGAACTAAGTCCTGATTTCATTAGTGCACACAACAGAGGGAAGAGTTCAGCTGAGATGCAGCAATATTTTTCAAAAATAGACAAGTATTTTTACAGCAAAGTCTGATTTAAAAAAAAAAATCAGAAGATCTGTACAAGAGAATCCTCTGGAGCAACATACCTGAAAATGTTGCTCCATAACCTGGATTTTTCCTTGGTCAGGACATTTCTTCAAAGTCCGATCAGCATAATGGAGAAGGATTTCAACCATCTGAATTACAATAAACAAGAAAATTCATTCCAACCCTACATTACAGGCCCTACTTGGTAGCACAGGCTGACTTGAGGGCTGGCAGCTCTGTAAACTCTGCTGTCCCACCTTGGGTATGAACTACCGTGGGTAGGGAAGAGGCTGTCAAGAGACAATGGCATGACAGGGCATAGAAGCAGCCCAGTGGGATATTAAAGGCCTACACTAACTTTAACTGACCAAAAACCTGGGCAGAGAGTCTGCCAGCAAATTTGCAGGCAGATAAACACACCCTGAAGCACAAAGCTCATCTGGGCCATGTTTTTACCCAAAGCTTAAGTCACTTGAAGCTATACAAAGCTATCTTGAACAGCAAAACTTATTTACCTACAAGCAAAATATACACGAAGAACAAAGTACACTTGAATAATAATTGCAATAATTGTGTATTTTAAACATACTCTTCCCAGAAAAAGGTTCCTGTGACAAATGAACAGGATCAGTTGAAGAGTTTTTTCCATGTCCATGCATATATGCAGCAAAGTTTCCATCCTGAGAGTCAGCAAGTTACATACTGATGGACACTTGCCAACCAAAGGTCAGGAAACTCTGGAGTTACCTGCAAAAAAGGTTTCTCTCCACTGTGAGGGGACCAGATATCTCAAGGTCTGGATGATAATGTCATGTTTTGATTTGCTAATGTTGCAGATTTTATCCCCACCTTTACCCAAAAGGTATTTCCAAGTCTCTCTTCTAAAATCCTGCTCACAATCTTAGCAAGAGGCACATGTACACATTCTAGAGCTAGTTGGATTAACTAACTTCTGGAGGACAGAAGCCATTCTTTCCAGGAACACAGTATTACATCAGCATACATGAAAATCCAGTTAGGAAGAGATCAGTGACTCACTCTGTCTGCAATGACTGCTTTCCGCTTGTTTGTGTCCCCAGACAAGCCTAGAAAGAATGAGGGGGAGGAAAAAAAAAAAAGGCAGCTTTTTCATCTAAGCTACCAATCAAAATATAAAAATCCCACAGTTCAGATGCTAACACCACTATCTTGGAGATGCAGAGGTCAGGATATCTAAATACACAATTTTGTGTTCTACTTTTAGCTCACTCTTCTTCTGAAGAGTTTATTCTCCCAACGTAAAGACTGTTCCAGCACAGAAATGGCAAGAACAGATCCAAATGCTGTTAACCTTGAGACAACAATTAATGGAGGGCTGTCAAAGACTGCGTACATGAGGCTAATTGCTGGAGGATGCCTTGATGCAAAGAAGCTGAATTAACTGCAGTATAAGGGGAAAAAAAAAATCTTAAATGCCAACTCAAAAATACAGTAATTTTTTGAATACTGAAAAACTATCTGTTTAATCGCTTTATATCCATGCATTAAAATGAGACACATCTTCAGATACTAGCAGTGTCACAGGAGGAGGATCTTATCCTGAGAACTTGAGTCTCATCTGTCAAAATCATCAGAAGTTATTTGCTGAAAAGTCAGTATGTGCAGTCCAAATCAGACCATTCAAGTGTAAGTTTCTGGCATAATTAGCATGTTTATCATAACAAACTAAATGCTCACAAAGCATCCTCCTTTGTAGGAAACTTGGTGCCAAAATCCAGCAGTTCTTTCAGTCAGTTGTATAGTCAGAGCTGACCTGAATGAAAGATCCTGTTCGGCATTGCTGACAGAACATCACACTGAATATTACCAACAGGTCATGCATGACCTTCAGTAATATTTTAGCAGGCTACATATTCAACACTGGGCTCCACCTCCTTCATGGCAAAGTGACAACAGATAGGAGTCACAACACAGACCAACTCTGATGTTCATTTGAAAACAGCAGGCTGAGAAAGGGACTATGAGTCTAAAAACCAAAAATCAAACCAATCCACATAAAGGTGGTGTTTCCATCAAACCCAAAGCAGCACATCCTACTTTCTCTCTTCAATTCAATTCTCTTCCTTTTTTTTTTTTATTTTTCCTGAAAAAGTGATTTCTGTACATCCATAGGTTTAAAACCTTCCACAGGAGTTTCAATTAAAAAAAACCCCACAAACCCAAACTTACCTACTACAGCCTTTGCTTTACCTTCATAAAAAGACCAAGCTAGAGCCAGGGCATCCGTGAGACGCTCTTGTTTCAGGAGGTGGTCAACTCTCTAAAATAATAAGTAATACTGAACCTTAGCATTACAGGAAAGATGACCCCCTTGTATTTAAGATCAGCATTTCTCAGTAGTGGGATCCCTGACAGCAAAGGGGAGGAAACCTCAGAAGACCTCAACACATTGCACTAAAGGACAGTATCTCAAAAAGATTCTCTCATATGTACATTTTCTGCTGGACAGTTAAAAAAGACTAAGAAATGTCAGGCCGCAGTACATCAAGTCCCTGTGGGCTACATTTTAGGTTAGATACTCGATGGATGGAGACCCACAGCATCAGTGAGTGTCTGCAATCACAAAGAATAAAAATTTTCCATTCCCCATCCTTGCCTTGTCACTTACAGCACAACAAAACACTCTGCCATGTTTCCATCATATCCTACACTTTATTTTCTCATGAGCTCACACTCAACCAGGATTGAAGATCACAAGTATTTTCTGCTTTAAGGAATTTTTAGTATACAAGGTTGAGCACCACTAGTCTTGATGTGTTAGGTCAAAATGCTAAAGTGCTACTTGTGAGATTGCTGCATCTCAGCCCAGCATTCTGTACTGCAGCAAGAACTAACTCTCAGCTTCACACTCTAATCCCTCACATACTCAATTACAACTCTTGATTTCATCCCCTACAATAAAGAGGCCTGCAGCACAACAGAAACCATACAGTACTTTAGGAGGTTGGCACAGAGCATTTAAGTTGTGCTTGACCTCTGAATTCCAGGAAAAACAGTACCTGAAATCATGGGTCAAAGCAAGACTTTTCATTAACAGTTTACTAAACCAAAGTCAGTAGTGAATGGCTGGAGGGAAAACTAGCAGCGGAAAGTGATCTTGGTAACTAAAAGCAGCAACTGGATAAAAGTTCAATAGAGCTGTGCATCTTACTAAAGGTCCCGATACAATGTCATATGGAGGAGCTAATAATCATGAATGAGTACAGGAGCCATAAAGCAGGTAACAAGAAAAATGGTGAAGGTTGCTGCTTAAAGGAAAATTGTGAGACTGGAAAGAAATTACTACTGGAATTCCTTGAAAATCAACCTCGAAGCCCCCTTCTACACAGTGATTTGGTCAACTAACTTGGCATAAGCTGAATTTACTAACGAAGTTTGCTGATGACCAACTGCCAACATGTGATGTGAGACCCTAGACCAGAAAGACAGATAAAACAGGACTGCCTCTAAAGCTGGGTAATAGAAGTATGATGCAATCCAGTGGTACAAGCAACTTAAAGCAGAACTCAGAATTTGGCTATGGGGTGAATCTCCAGAGTGCCACAAGCCACTGACATCATGTAGCCAAAGGAACAGCAAAATAAGACCCAAGGATGCATAAGGAATGACCTATCTAGTAGAGACAGTGAAAAACAGGTGGCGTTGGGCATGACTTTTCTAAGACTCTACCCAGAGTAATACACACCAAAGTGTTTACTTATGTTCAAGAAACTGAGCACAAAGGAGGCGCAGAGAACAGTGACTATGAAAAAAGAAAGGAATGGGAAGGCAATCTTACACGAGAGTGATGAAAGAGCTTTGCTTAGCCTTGCAAAACAAAGTCTGAGAGAGAACATGCATACACTGAATAAATATACTGCAAAGTGATGATCTAGAAAGGAAAAACTGCTAACTCAGTGAAAAGAGCAACACAGGAACAAATAGACATAAACAGATCACTAAGAACTTTAATGTGGAAATTGACAGTGTTTCAGCTGTCAGAGAAATAATGTTCCAAAAAAAATCTTCTACCAAAAGAAACAAAGATCTAAAATCCAATGATCTTTCTAGGCAGTCTTTGATGGATTTTATGATGTAGCTCCTACAGCAGCTGGAGACAAAGTACAGTGAACCAGATTTCCTTCCACTTCTGTATGCTTACCTGGGAGACTGACACAGTCCTCTGAAGTCATACATTGCACCAACTCTTATCTTGTTGACAGAAGCTGAAATATGGCAAGGCATTATGCCCTGCTTGGGAGAACAAGGTCTCCGTTCAGCCTGCAAGTTTATAGCATCCCACCATGGAAAGCAGTGTACCTACGGTGCTGGCTGTGCGTAGCAATCAGGGATCCTCACCACAACGCTCAGAACATGCTTCACAACTGCTCCCTCCCTCCTCCCAAACTATATTTAAGCAGTTTGAACCTACTAAGCCATACAGTTTTCCTCTCAATGTACCTCTCTCCAGCTTCTCAATGCCATGACGTGAACAGACTAGAAAAGAAAAAAAAAAAAAAAAGAGTTGTTTACTTACAGTTGCTCATGCACCCTCTGGTATCCCACAGACCCACCAGAGCATACTGGTACAGATGAAACTAAGTAAAGCAACCCTCAAGCTTGGCACGGCAGGAATAAATTGGATGTTCACATTTAACAGAAAACATCCTTTACATGGCCTTACAACCCATCTGCTCCAAGATACCATCTCTCACTTCTTCCCCTGCTTCCACATGTCATCCTATAGGCCACCTCTCTTTGCCTTTTCACAGACAGCCTGCACTGCAGAATGGGAAAATGAATAGGATATTCCTTTTATCATTCCATCCAACACAGTCTAGTTTTCCCTGCTGTCTCATTTTCTTCTGTTTACTCACTAGCACATTTAGGACAGAGAAATTGAAGCTTAGAACAGAGGAGATGTCAGCAAAGTAATACTAAATCTACCCTGAAGCAGCATGAACCAGGATACCATGAAGCTATGACAATGTCATATTTAGCCCATACCTTGGCTAAAACCAAATTACTGCACATTTCTTTCATCCCATGACATACATGCACAAATAACCCACGCCTGATTCACATCGTAAAATAAAAAATTGCCCTTCCGCAGAAAATGAGCTACCTTCAACAGTGAATGCCCCATCTTTTTATTAAAAACTCCCCACATTTACCTTAGTTCCAAGGTAAAAGATCTGACCACCACAGCTGCTGATGGACTGATAACAAGCTTTCTCTCCAACCAATGCCTACAGGGAGAAAATTACATGCAAGTAAAACTGCTTTTTGTTGCTGTAAAGTTTCCCAAAAAACATATATACATGTGAACTTTAGGGACACTTTGTAGTTCAGAAATCACAAAATGAGGATTAGGAGAGACCACCACAGATTGCTGGGAAGATATAAATAAAAAAAACTCTGCTGGCACTCCCTCTGGCTTGTGAATGCAGCTTAAAGCACTACTGAGCTCTGACTGCCCAGACTGACAGAGTCACAAGGACCCACAAGCCATGCTGTGTGTCTATCCTCAGATGCAAAAAAAAAAGTTATGGGAGCTTTTTCCTTACCATCTGTTTCCTCACAAATCTTCCTCAAGAGTAAATGTGTAGGAGACACAGATGGAAAGACTTTTGTTGAAGTGAGAGTTGCTACAAGAAAAGTTTGAGTGCCAGTAACTAGTGTTCAAAAGGCTCTATATGGGCACATTTGCTATGTGAGAAATGGAGGATCGCATCAAAATCAGAGGTTTTACCACAGTGCATGGGCAGTGCTCACTTCCCACTCTGCTGCGCAGTTACACCAGCTAGAGCTGTCTGTCCTGTACTTCTCTCAGTCTGGTCAGGTAGGGGGAAGCTTCCTGGGTCTCTTCCCACTGCTGAAAAATGTGTCCCTAACAACACTCCAACCTGCTCAGCACAGAACCTAAGGCTGAAGCAGAAGATAATCCCTGCATCTTTCTTTAGATGCTGCAGTAGAAGAATGGGGCCTCACAGTCTCCATCCACAAACACAGCATCTCTGAAACCAGAATATCTCTTACAGGAGAAGCAACCTCATCTAAGATTTGCCTTCCAGAGTCTCTGTAGAACTAACACAGGAAAAGGTATATTTCTGATCCTCTGAGACATGAAAAAAAAAGCAAGCTTCCCATCAGAAGTTGTCCTTGACTCAATTGCTCTGGAATAGGTTGTCTTGTAATTCCTGCTGAAATGCAGGGAAAGAGACTGCCTGTTCCATATCCTCAGTGTTTCAAAATGGCATTACAGACTTCAGATCTCACTTGCCACTTACAGTCTGTGAATGAAGTAGGGGTCTTTTCTAGACTCACAATAGCATTTTAACAGGCAGTACTTATTTGAGCCCACCAGTTTTTCAAGTTGCATGTCTCTGGATTTGATAATCACCACAAGTCCTCACAGGACTCTGCAGAATTTCTGGAATTGCATGAAAGGCTCTGAATAACGACATATCCTAGCAAGGAGAGCTCGTATACCACCTTAGTGCCAACCTGTAGCTATGTTCTGTGAGGTTGTGCCTGGGAATTCCAGGCCATATAGCAGGTAGTACATAAGCTAATTTAGACTAGACTCCACCTTCTGCCTCTTTCTTCCTCAGCCTGCATCTGCAGCACAAAGAAATGAGAGCAGATAAAGCAGTGAAAGCCAGATAAACAACAGCTATGTAGATCTAAAGGCTGCAAAGACTCCTCATAGTGCTTCTTCCAGTCTGAATGGCCAGAATTCTGTTCCTTGGTGCTCAAAGGGAACCATGACAGAGGCCTCTTTTTGCCATCCTGCATTGTAGGCACTTCTCCTTGGGTTTCTGGAGCTGAGTCATGACTATATGCTGGGCTTGAAATTACAGCTCCAAACTACAGACCCACATGAGCCTTCTGCTAGTTGTTTGGGCCAGCAAGTCTCACAGGGCTATAGCAGAATTGAACAGGAATCATATCGTCCAGCTGTAGAATTTCAGAACCCCTGGGCTAACTCTGGTGAAGCACTGAAAGGCTTGAATGCAAGGATGGAAGGCCCTTTCCTACACACACTCTTGGCAAACTGTTTCCAAAATAGAGAAACTAGTTTTCTACTGAAAGCAATAACCTGTCCCACAACCATGGCTTTGAAAAAACCTTCACAATGGTGTGGCAATACAAAACCAACATCAAAGTGAGTCTGCATCTGAAGGCACATGTAGGTTACAGAAGCTGTCAGGAACCACTGAAATTAAGACCTACTTCAGGAACAGAACATGTCCAGACACCATCAGGGTTCAAATAAAACAAATAACAAGCATGAAAGTCAAAAGAAACTGACAAATAAACAAAAGAGGAAAAAGTAGAAAACATAATGCCTGAAGTGTTGCAACCTCCACTAGTATGGATGGTTTGGGTTTTCCACTTCAAACAAGAAAGAAGTACAGTACCTACAAGCGTATGCAACTTGTTTCATCCTCTCTACCCCTGCATGACAATCCATGAGACAAGGTCAGGGAATGCATGTACTGCACAGGCACTGCCACAGCATAGTATTTGTGGCATAGAGAATAGAAATGCCTGTAGGAATCCTTGAAGGATAAAGCACATCAGCTTTTTTACCTCTACAGAGTATTACAAAGCTTGGTAACTTAAGAGCAGCTCATAAAAACATCAATGCACAGAAAGAAACATGAACTGTCTGTTAGGTGGCCACATCAGTGCTGTGTATGATTTCTGAAATGCTTCAGAAAGGCTCTTTTCCCCAAGCTCTAGACTTCCACTTAGGGCATATCTGAAACAGTCAGCTAACACAAGCAGGTCATTAGTGCCTACCAGGGCTTCGCTGACGTTGCCTCCTGTAGCCAGTGATTTGAAGTGGCTGCTGTTGTAGACTAGCTGAACTTCGGAGATCTCTATGGTCTCCAGCTCCTCCTGTGTCTGACGATCTATAACGTGCAGCTTCTCCACACTGTCCAGAAGCACTGCTGTCCGTGAGTTTATCCACTGAAAAAACAACAAATTGCAGATTTCAGCCACGCATACACAATTAGAGGACAACTAAACAGGCTTTGGCCATATCCCTGAGTATCAATACTGGAAGTTCTAGGATGGCTAGTAGCTTTGTTACCATACACGGTCACAGCACACATGCATAACCCCAAAGGTAAAGATAAGGTGGCTCCTTCTGAAATATCATCTTACCCTCTTCATGCACTATTTAGGCTCTAGCACACTTCCTACCCAAAGGTCTCAAACCCAAGAGTACTACAACACCTGTCAGGAGGTAAATATGGCATCAGGAGGCATTAAAGGAGAAATAGTACATCTAAACTTAACTCGAAGTCTGACATTAATATTCTGCTTTTATGTTCAAAACCATGCAAATAAAGACTTTTTTTCACTGCTTTCACAATATCTATTTTTTTTTTAAACAGCCAAACAAAGTCCAATCTCTGTGGATGTCCATCTTGGCATTTTGTTTTACTTGCTGTATTCTGTAAAAGTGTTTTAGAATTGAACAATTTCTTTTGTTGAAAGCATCAAATAATTACAGTACTTTAGAAAACACCCATATATAGAAACACTAGAATTTTACTGAGCCAATTACAAGCTTGCATTCTTTTTAGTGATAATACAGAATAAAAATCTTTCTTGCCAGATTCTCTCTGGCTCTTGAAAATATTTCCTCAAAAAGGCTACCCCTCCTTCCAAAGAAAGGACACTATTGTTGCCTCAATACTACTAATTTTTCATCTTTTGGCTACCATTTGCTATTTCACTTGTGCTGGTTCTCTACCAGGTCCCAAGTTTAAGGACATCTTCGGTTAGTTAGTCCCAGATAAACACAGCCACTTCCTAGGCTACATTTGTAAAGTCAGCGGTATAGAACTAAAGACTATTGAGATACATTGACAAGAAAACTAGTGCGCAAAAAAAAAAAAAAATTAACCATCCTGTAGTACTTACAGTAAAGTTGATGAGGTCATAGTGTAGATGAAGCTGCCTCTGCTTAGTGACATGTATTGCACCAGTATCATCTCTCTTTACCTAAAAGAGAAATCAGACAAGGCTAACTCAAACTCAAACACTTTCTTCAGCTCAGCATCACTGTTCCCAAAGGGCATCAGACCAACTCCAGGAGTCTGAAGCTCCCCTCAGACAAGCACGCTGAGAGTGGAGTAGCAGCACACTCCCTCCTCAAATGGAGCATGATGTCTCACTTTCAAAACCACTCATGTAAGTGAGGAAACAGAAGGCTCTGAGCAGGGGGCAGTAAAAATATACGTCCTCTGCTGGATCAACTTTAAATCATTTATTTGTACTACATGAGTTGTATGTCGTCAACAATTTGGCACTACATGTGTTCAAGGGCTTGTTGCCCCCTGCCCCACCTCACATATTCTATAAGGCAATTCAGTTTCTAAAAGGGGTGCAAACGCCAGCACTCGTACAGAGAGCACCAAAGCAGGACTGATTCACATTCTGACTCTCAAGGGGCTCAGCCCCACTGGATTACTGAACTGAAGGAAGACGTTGCATGACAACTCCCAGTCAAAGGTTCTCTCTCATGTCTTCATCAAGAGATGAAGAGTCTCATCTCTTCGTCATGCAGGAATTACTGTGCTTTCTGCCTGTAAAAGTCAGAACTACAGAACACTAATGTGAAACTGGCTTTAATTAATCATCATTTAAAAAAGCATTCTGTGAAGAAAAATACGGGGGTTTTACACTTTGACAATTTGAAGTACAGCAAGAGAGACCTGAATTCAGGTAATATGGCTGTTCAAGTAACCTGTATGCAGAGGAGCACCACTGGCCATAGCCAAGCTGGGTATCTGTGCAGAGGCTTGTGCTATTGCACGGACAGACATCTCCAGCAAAACAGGCTTAAATGTACACCCTTTTCTTTCTCTCCAAGTTTACCAAGAGAGAAGATAAAGGGGAAAGAGGATTCAATCCAGACAGTACAATGTATGGGTGCTTGAGTAAAGCTTAAGGTCCAAGATAAAACCAGAGCTGAGAAACAAACTTAGCACTCCAAAGCCAAAATGCCAGATTTTCTGGAACCTAGGTACTGCTCTTGTAAGAAATCAGACATGAAATCACCTTCAAACAACCGTATTTGCATGCAAAACTTCTGTAGATCTAAACAAGATGAGCAGCATGCCCTAAAGTCACATGCCAGCAGGACCTGAAAGCTGTTATCTCTTAGTGATTTAGACAGGTTTTTTCCAGACTCATTTTAAAGCAAAAAATAAAACGGTATCTCAAATTCAAGTGATCTCCCCAAAAACAATCCACATTCTACTACCTCCAGTAGAAATGAGATAAGCTGCATATCAACACTTTTGGAATGCATAAAGCTCATGCCTCCAGATTGTCTCCACAGGCTCTTTAGGAAGAACAGGCAGGGGTGATGAGGAGGGAGGTCACCCTCTATGTGCAGCTGGGGTGCAGGGAGCTCTGACTGGGGATGGGTGAGGAGCCGAACAAGAGTTTATGGGTCAGGATTAAAGGGAGAGCAGGGACAGATGTTGTAGTGGGGGTTTGCTACAGGCCACCTGATCAGGAAGACTGAAGAGATGAGGCCTTCTATAGACAGATAGGAGAAGCCTCATGTTCACAAACCCTGGTCCTTATTTGGGACTTCAACCACCCCAGTGTCTGTTGGAGGGACAACACAGCAGCACGTAGGCAATCGAGGAGGTTCCTGGAATGCGTTGATGATAATTTCTGTCTCCAAGTGATAGAGGAGCCAACAAGGAAAGGTGCTATGCTGGACCTTGCTTTCAGCAACAAGTTGAGGCTAGTGGGGAATGTGAAGCTCAAGGGCAGCCTTGGCTGCAGTGACCATGAAGTGGTGGAGTTCAAGATCCTTAGGGCAGTGAGCAGGGCACACAGCAAGCTCACTACCCTGCAATTCAGGAGAGCAGCTTTTGGCCTCTTCAGGGATCTGCTCGGCAGAGTAACACGGGATAAAGCCCTGGAGGGAAGAGAGGCCCAACAAAGCTGGGTAATAGTCAAGGATCACCTCCTCCAAGCTCAGAGGAGGTGCATCCCGACAAAGAGCAAGTCAGGTAAGAACACCAGGAGGCTGCATGGATGAAAAAAATCCTCCTGGACAAGCTCAGACACAAAAAGGAAGCCTACAGAGGGTGGAAGCAAGGGCAGAGAGCCTGGGAGGCATAGAGAGAAATTGAGCAGCCAGGGATCAGGTTAGGAAGGTCAAAGCCCTGACAGAATTAAATCTGGCCACAAATGTCAAGAGCACCAAAAAAAGCTTCTATAGGTACGTTGGTGATAAAAGGAAGACTAAGGAAAATGTGGGCCCTCTCTGGAAGGAAACAAAATTCATTACCTGGGATATGGAGAAGGCTGAGGTCCTGCACATAGCTTGGGGCAATGCCAAGCACAAATCCAGGCTGGGCAAAGAGTGGATGGAGAGCAGCCCCAAGGAGAAGGACTTGGGGGTATCAGTGGATGGAAAACTGACTGTGAGCCAGCAATGTGTGCTCACAGCCCAGAAAGCCAACCGTGTCCTGGGCTGCATCCAGAGCAGTGTGGGCAGCAGGGCGAGGGGGGGATTCTCCCCCTCTACTCCACTCTCATCAGAACCCCCCTGCACTGTTGTGTGCATCTCTGGGGCCACCAACAGCAGAAGGACACGGACACACATGGAGTGGGTCCAGAGGAGGCCATGAGGACGCTCAGGGGGCTGGAGCACCCCCTGTGAGGACAGGCTGAGAGAGTTGGGGGGGTTCAGCTGGAGAAGAGAAGGCTTTGGGGAGACCTTAGAGCGGCCTCCCAGGACTGAAAGGGGCTATAGGAAAGATGGGGGGGGATGACAACTCTTTATCTCTGGGTGTACAGATAGGACAAGGGGTAATGATTTTAAACCAAAAGAGAGTAGATTTAGGCTAGATACAAGGAAGAAATTCTCCCCTGTGAGGGTGGTGAGGCCCTGGCACAGGTTGCCCAGAGAAGCTGTGGCTGCCCCCTCCCTGGCAGGGTTCCAGGCCAGGTTGGACAGGGCTTTGGGCAACCTGGGCTAGTGGAAGGTATCCCTGCCCATAGCAGGGAGGTTGGGACTTGATGATCTTTAAGGTCCCTTCCAGCCCCCAAACCATCCTGTGAGTCTCAGGGAAGGGCACCACTGACTGCTCAAGAGCAGTGACCAACAGGTTTGTTTTCCCAAGCTGGTTGCAAGTTGCAGACATCCCCAGCATGTACACATACCATACTGTCACTGAGACAGAGACACAGTCAGCTGCATATGTGAATAAGACATAACTATCTGAAAAGCAGCATAAAACATCCAAGGCTTACCAGAAGAAAATGAACAACATCTCCTCGACAAAATGCAAGCATGGGGTTCACAGAGTTCTGTATGGCCACAAAGTGCCACGCCAGAAGAGGGACACTAGAAGGGTCCATCTGTTAGACAAAAAGCACAGCCAGTATTTAGGGTACATGCAGCAGAACCTCAATCCCAGGGCACAGGCTGTTCATCAGCTGCTACTCACTGACTTTGCCATGTACACACACAGGCTGTAAAACAATTTCCTGGTCTACTGACACCTGAGCAGTAGCTTGTGCAATTTGGTCCAGCCACACAGTTTAGGGGCAATGTGTGTCTCTTGGAAAAGTGGATAGCCACTCAGAACAAAAGTGGCTGCTGCTTAATGTAGATCCAGTCTCATACATATTGATAGACTAAGACAAGCAGCAGCTTGCTAGCCACCTTATCTCCATTCTCCCCATCTAACATATCCCACACCTTCCCCCTGCTGCTTTTTCAAGAATTATACCAGAGACTAGTGAAAGCAAATAACTAAGAGTTTAGAAGATTGTTTTGTCCTCTAAACCCACTTTTTTCTCTGTCCCTGCAATTAACGGCTCTATGGTATGTTTTTTATGTAAAGCAACGGCCCCAGTCCAAGGTGACTGTAGCCATAATAAGGTCAACATCTCATCTGTGAGTGCATCCAGGCTGCACCAGGGAAGACAAAGCTGAGGGGCTCCAGCGTTCCTTCTTTCCTACTTACTGAAGAAATTCAGCATCTTCACACAGGTAGAGCTGAAAGGAGTCTTTCTGCCTCCTATCTGTCCACAACGTGCACACATCAGACCAGTTCCACAATGCAGAGTTTACTGTGTGCTGATAAAGTAGCGATATGAAACACCTGGTCCTAATCTCATCCCCTTCACTCTAGGAACTATTTGTAGCCATAAACCAAAACGCAACTGTTTGGCTTCATTACTCACACGACCGTAAGGAAAGGTCATCCACACTTTCAGAGATGGCTTCAGGCCAATAACCAGTATCTTCAAGAAAAACAGAAAGGTAAAATAAATTGAGTATATAGCAGAAAACTTCTCCTTTGTGATTTCTCACACAGAGGCAAGCAGCAAGTTACCTTTGTTAAGGAGGCCATGGCCAGCAGTGAATACTGGGTGATAGGATGGTCTCTCAGCTCAACTTTTGCATGTAATGGTTCAATACAGCAAACTTCCCCCTTTGAGCCACTGAAGAGACATCGAGATTCACACGTTCTCACTCCCATAACCCTCCTGCAAAGAAGAGAAGTCAGATTGGTGGCCAGCTATCACGAAGAGATTAGCCCAACAATCTCATGAAATCTCAAGAGTGATCCTTCATAAATATTATTTTTAAGAAGTCCTTTACACAGCTCGAGGGATCACTTTTAGTGTGCCACTGAAGCAGTCCCATACAGCTGCTCAATACAGACAAGAATCCTTAAGATCTTATTTAACAGTAAAGTTTTGGAAATTCCTGAACATGATGAGACTCCCTAGACTGTCAATCCTTCCTCCTCATCCCTCCTCCTCCTGAAGAGTCCAAGAAAAAAAAAAAAAAAGCAGTTACTGCAGGGCAGCTCTCGCTATTGAAACAAGGAAAAGCAAGAGGCAGCACTTTTATGACAACTACCAAGAGCCCAGAAGGAATGCCAAGATTCTGGACAATACACTGATACCTTAATAACTTAGGCTATTCTTTGACTATTACACTGCCAGATAGCATCTTGCTTCAGCTGTGAAATTATACTGTAGCCCTAAATTATACCTTCAACATTCAGACAGTTTCTTCATTGGTTCCAATGGGATTTTTCGCTTAGGTTTTAGAAACTATGACCCAACATTAGTTTCTTGTACTTTCTATGGGTAAAGTTATCATCTTACTTAAATGACAGTTCAAATACGGAGCCTCCGCTGTCATTGCAAATTGCAAGCGTCGGGTCATCTGTAAACTGAGCAGATAATTAGATTAAAAGCAGCACTAAGAAATAAACTACAAAAAATGGGTAGAAAAATCTATGCTATGGCGTTATTAACAGTACACAGAAGTACAAGTATTGTACTTACCAGAAAAACACCTTTAACATACAACATTGAGACAATTACTAGCTTTTTTTATGTGTAAAAAAAGCAAGGTTTTGTGTTTCATCTTCACCCCTCCGGCAAGTCCTGTTGCTAGATTCTGTTACAAAAGTCCCGTTACTTTTCTACTGCAGCTTAGAACTACAACATACCAAAACCTGTCCAGCCTTGAGCCCATGAGTTGGTGCCAGAGCTGGTGAATAGGCTGCAGACAAAAAAAGACCAAAACCAGAAACATCCAGAACTCCTAATGATATCAAATAATCAAGATAAGAAAGGGTCACAGCCATAGCTGAGGTTCCCTTCTGGAGGACTTTGCAACCCAGCATCTAGCAGCACAAGCATCTGGGCAGTGCAGCAGTGTCTGAGTACTCTTCAATGCTGGTACTGCCAGCGGGTCGGGAGCTAGAGAAGGGGACAACTAGGAGCAGAGGACCTGGCACAGGGGCAGAGATGGAAGCGTGGGAGATGTAGCAGTAAAGGGGCACCTTCACACCCACAAAACATTTTGGTTAGCCTGGTCAGACAAACCAGCACATGAGAACCTGTCCTTGAGTAATGTGCCCTATGAGACCCACTACACTAATTCCATGTGTGACACTGTATGGGTCTGAGATGTCTCAGCAAGATCCAGGAAAGGAGAAGAGAGAAGAGTTTGGGTGATGCACCAAAGTCACTGCTCTGACCAGGCTGCCAAGGAGCATTATGCTCTGGTAGGAGAGGTCCACGTAAAACAAAGTCATGCACAAAATCAGATATGAGTTTCTATGCGAGACAACAACACTATGATGAACAAGAAACTACAGATGATTTATCTTTCAACCCAAACATTCTCAATAAATTACTTGAAAAACTGCTGCCAGAAACTTCTTTCTGCACTTCAGACTCCTGTTTCAAGTTGTCAAGTCATGTATCCAGTTCAAACCACAGCAAGTTTTAGAGAAATGAATTCTAGCAACTAATTCTTCATAGATTTTGACATCAGAGAAAGGAGTTATAACAGACAACAACTGTTGTTTTAGTACAACTCACAGCTGGTAATATTATTTCAGCTCTCAAAATACTCATTCTTTTTTAAATAGAATTTCTGCTAGTTTTTCTCATCTCTGGATACTGTTGCCATATAGCTCCCAGCTAGCTGCTCTCATCTGTAAATCTAAAAAGTACTACACAAAAAAAGTCAACACATCAGACTGGACACAAGTGTCTGCGCAAGACAAAAAAATAGAAAAAAAAAATAGCATACAAGGAGTACATGTAGTGTTTGTTACCTTGATGTGCAAAATGGCTGTTCCTGGTGGGTGGGCATCTGTTATTGATCGTAGCAGCTTCCCACTGGCCAGATCCCACATTGTGATCTGCAAGCAGACTGTTCTCAGTACACACGTTTACTGCCAAGGAGTTCTCTCCATCACCTTGTGCATCAGTACATCAATAAAATTCTACACTCCCAATACCATCCTGGGTTACTAGGGTCTTCATATCAAAGAAAAGTGGTCTGAAATCTGTTCCTACCCTGTTTTTACAAGCAGTTTACTGATCTGCTTATACTCTTGTTCACAACACTAGAATTATCTTCACAACTGTGAATCACACCCTTTTGGCAAGCTCTCACCACCTGCCCAAACTCACTCACCTCACAGCTATCTGCCTGATAACACAATTAAAGAATGCAAGATAACTGTGCTACCGCACAACACTGTTCAAAGTGGCATTTTTCTCTCACAGGATCAGTGAACAGTTGAATAATCTCTGCTAACACCCGTCAGCAAAACTCAAGCATCTCCCACAGCTACCATGAACCTTGTCACTCGTGTCTCTCTGTTTGCTCAGCATGACAGGTCAGGTAGGAGTATACAGCTTGGCTTGAGCTTAGATATTAAATTCAGGCAATTTCTCAACTAAGCAACAGCAAGTCATAAACTGTGTAACTCAGGAATATTTAGCCCAGAAGAGCTGAGATTACAATTTAAATCAAACTTTTTATTGGAAATACTATTTTATATGGTTCCATAAAACTTTATCAAAGCTTTGTAGACCGGATGATTTCAGAACTGCTGCTCCAAACTATTTCATCTGAGTGTCATTTAAGACTGATCACTGCTCTGCATGGATCAAATCTATATTTCCACATGGTCTGGAGCAGTCTGTCATCTAGTCCATAGGCACTGAAGTGTGTTTTAAACAGAATTAAGGTGAAAGCCAAAGGAACAAAATGAAATTAAACTAAAAAGAAAAAAAAAAAAAAGCAGCCGCCTTTGTATTTTATGGACCTCTACATTTTACCAGATGAACTTCTATCCATTTTGGTTTAGGTTTAATCTTACAACTTTTGTTCAGGAATCGCTCTCTCTCTTTAGGTTCAGAGAAGGGCATAAAACTACAACAGTAAACTCAGATCCTTTTTCCCCCACATTCAAAAGCTATGCTGCTTCCATCATACAACAGAAGGTATTAGTAAATATGAACTTTGGGGCTGGATATGAGTTTCAAGAATTTCAAGTCAACACCACAGTAAAAACTAGCTTTAATTACAAAGCTTAGATTTCACAAAGTGATCTAAAAAGACTAAACTGGTTGTCCTGGTGTGCCATTGCACATTTCAGTTTATAAGGAGCAAGACTTATGTCACAAAGAGCCACGATTAATTGAATCCTTCAACATATTCTGTGTTACCCATTTCTTCCACAGAAACCTACCCCAAATAATCTGAGTTAGCTCACTTGAATGCAGGAATTGGTTGGCCAAAAATACCTCTGAGCAGATCAAGGCAGGCACACTGCTTTTCAGCCCCAAACCAACTACAAACAGATACATATTGAGTGTGCTAGGCTTGGAGCTGTTGTCACCTCTGGATAGCATCTGCAGGAGGGCAGAGCACTGGACCGTCCCATCCGACGGGAATTACCTGTCCTTTCGCAAAGCCACACAGGAGCCTCGAACAGTCATTGTTGATACTGAGAGCAGAGATAGCCCCATACTGGGCCCCAACAGCAGTGCTGCCCAGACACAGCCGAAGAGCCTGGTTTTGATCTAGAGCAGAACAATTAGTAAGAAATTAAAGAGAAGGAAAGAGCAATTATTAAAATTAACATAATGCAATTTTTATTTAGACAATTCACTTGGGGTACATTCATGATTCACAGGCTTGCAGTTAAGTTATTTGAAAAGAGTTTACAAGATGAAGGCACATATTAGTACAGAGATAGTGGGACACTTGCAGGGAAATACAAAAATTTTTAAAAGTATGAAAGAGGTGCAGGCAATATGGAAATGCAGAGGTATTTCAAACTGAAGAAACTATTTAGAAAAGTCAAAGCAATATCTAGATTTCCTTTTGCTATTCTGCAATGGTGCTTTAAGTTGTAGCAAGGATGACAGAAAATTAATTCTGTCTTCTGAGCCTTAAGTATATGCCAATTTGAACATCCCCAATGCAAGCTTTTGGTAAGTGTAATTTTACATAACCTTTATTCCTCAGTTTTGTTGGTAAAGGCCAGAAGCTGGAAGAAGAATGAACTTGTGTCTCCAGGCTGCACAGGTAAAATGCTTGATGAGTTCTATTGCACACAGCTCTTACATCATAAGGAAACAGCAATGATCACTACACTGTGACAGAACTTCCCTTCCTGAGACACTGGCTACAGCAAAGGAGGTGCTAATGCCTGCACAGCCTCCTAGGGACTGGACTGCTGCATGGCCCTGCCCTGTTGTCCCCTGCAGACAACAAACAGCAGGCACTTCTGTCTGCGCCAAGTTCTTGTCTGCTTCCACAAGTGACTAAAAATTGCTTTATGAGATGTTGCACTTCAGGCATTATGAATGATAACCTTCTACCTGTCTTTGGTACATTGCCCTTAAAAGCTAAGAAAATTATATTCTGGATCTGCTTTTTCCACCTCTGTCTCATTTTGTCCTGCAAAATTTTGAGTGGGGGAGGAAAAAAAGAGATGCTTTGTGAGGACTGTTGGAATGAAGACTGGAGATCTGAAATGCATCAGAAGCACCACAAAAACACTGCATGCAGGACTGCACCTTGAGCAAGGAAGGGAAATGACAGGATCCAGGGAACAGACAGCAGCTGAGCACCAGAAATCCCCTGGAAGAACTGCCCAAGGTATGGGACATATTTCTCCAAGTTGCAGCACTGCTAGCAATGTGCTAGATGTGAAGCAGAGCATGGATGTCTCCCTGATTTCTTCCCCCATACAAAGGGATGCATTAATCAGTCTGCACAGATTTGATGGCTGAGCACACACAGAGCGGGAGTCACCTTTCCAATTTCTACCAGTACGAAGAGGCATTAGTGAAAGGACTGAAATACTGGCAAGAAAAGTACCTGAACTCATGGATTACTCTAAAGCACTGTTTAGGGTGAGGGGAAAGAGGCTAAGGCCATGTTCAAACACTTTTTCCACTCTATTCCTTGTTTTCCTGCATCTGCGTCAAAAAACTCATCTGCTGTTGTGGCCCCCAAAAAAGTAAGAATTCCTTTTCCTGCGAAATCTGGACAGTGGTAGCAGGGATAGAGAGGGTGTTACAAACACTTCTTCTGCACACCAAATGAGACAGAGCCTACAAGAGACAGAAAGGCCATGCTCTGTCTTGCAAATGCACAAGGAAGGCTCAGATATTACAGAAAACTGTCAGTTTTGATCTAAAACATGGCAACAATAACGGTCAATAGGATACCATATGTTATGGGTGCTCAGAAACATCATGATTCTTGTGAATGTTGAAGAACTCTGCTCTTGAAATGTGTGGGAGGAAAAGAGAAAGGTGCCTTCAGTTGACCATACCATCTCTTCATCATGTGTCAAGCAGCCCAGGCAGTTTGAAAAAAGCTACCTGTTCTTCATGGACTTCTGCTCTGCTGTGCCTGCCAGCACAACACCTGATGCCGCATGGAGCATCTTTTTCTACAGTCTGACTTATGCCAAACACAGAACAGGGGAGTTGCACTTTCAAAAGAGAATTGACATTTGCTTGTTAACAGTTATTATAAAAACATTTCATAAAGATACTGCTACTACTGTAAGAGATACTCCGTTAAACTATAGGTAGATGAAGATTATTTTTCACAGTTAAATAATCAGAAACTGTGCAAAACACTACTTTTCATTAGCCTTCCAAATGAATGTGACACTGTTGAAGATAAAATTCTGAAAGCTGAGGAGAATATGAACGTTCAAACTGGCTGAACCTACATGTACAGAAGCAGCTCTGAAAGTTCTGACAGTCACACAAGTTACTGTTTAAATATATATCTAAATTTTATAAGCCTTGACACTCATGTTTAACTAAATAAAGGATATATATATATAATATCCTATACTGTGAATGGCTGCCATCAGTCACTGCAAAAGAGGAAGATGGAGCCAAAACTACTTCAGTATCACTATAGCAAGAAGTTAGAAAAGCAACATGCAATTCATTGCATCTGCCACTCAAGCACAACACAGAGCCTTCCTGAAGGTCAGTCTGATGCCACGGAGCCACAGCAAACCACAGCACCTTCTGCTCCAGGGGCCAAGCAGGGTATTTCTGCCACCAACTCTAGTACCAAGTACAAGGCAGTCGAAACGCTTCAAAACTAAGGCCATTGCTCTGCACACAACTATCCTTATTAGGATAATAACAATCATCTTGGCTGGAAAAGCCCTTGAAGCTCCTCCAGTCCAACCATGACCCTCACCCTGACCATTCCCAACACTCCACCAGATCCCTCAGCGCTGGGTCAGCCCGACTCTCCAACCCCTCCAGGGATGGGGACTCCCCCCCTGCCCTGGGCAGCCCATTCCAACGCCCAACAGCCCCTTCTGCAAAGAAATCCTTCCTCAGAGCCAGCCTGATCCTGCTCTGGCAGAGCTTGAGGCCATTCCCTCTGGGCCTGGCGCTGATTCCTTGGTTCAAGAGACTCATCCCCCCTCTCTGCACCCTCCTTTCAGGGAGTTGCAGAGGGCCAGGAGGTCTCCCCTCAGCCTCCTCTTCTCCAGACTGAACCCCACCAGTTCCCGCAGCCGCTCCCCAGCAGACCTGTGCTCCAGACCCTGCACCAGCTCCGTTGCCCTTCTCTGGACACGCTCGAGTCATTCAATGGCCTTTCTGGGGTGAGGGGACCAAAACTGAACCCAGGAATCGAGGGGCAGCCTCACCAGTGCTGAGTACAGGGGCAAGGTCCCTTCCCTGTCCCTGCTGGCCACGCTATTTAAGATGAAACAGAAGCTATGTGATGGAAATAAACATCATTCTTTGCCATGCTACTAGAAAACACCTTGACATCACTGTGACAAGGGTGTACAAGATCAGAACAGGTCAAAGAAAAAGAAGAAAAATCATGGAAGATTTCCATGGAAGCTCAGAGAACACAGAGCTACAGCTGGAAAACAAGTTCCCCACAGATATATTCTCCAAATGGTGTCCCTCAAGTCCCAATGAAATAATTCCTGTTCCAGAGGTCTGGAAATACAGTTCATTTACAAAAAGACCATCTGCTAACTGCAGCTCTTGCTTATTAAAGGCGAATTGCATCCTGTTCCTTTCACTTCAGCTTAAACCTGTCAATAAGTCAATAATCTGTTTCCTCTAAGGCATGAAAAAGGAGAATCTGTCACAGTTTTCTCTGAAAAGGGAACAGCTTCAGAATCACTATTACTTCCAATCCAGCTTTACACCTTTATATATATACCCATATAAACTTTCAAATCCATTTTCTTATTTCCTCACTCACAATGTCAATTCAAAATAAACAAAGGTGGCTATCAATTGTAAAAAAAAAATGTTTTTAATTTTGCAATTTACATAAAACAATTCTTCATCTGAAAAATTTTTGGCAGTAACTACTTTTGTTGTTCTCAAAGTCTGAAGCCAAAATGAGGTGGCACTTTGATACAGCTCAACAAGTAAAGAATAAAAGCAAGTTTGTGAATATGAAGTAAGTCACTTTCCAGAACAAAGGGATAAGCATACCACTCCTCCTTAATTAAGTTATTAATTCTCAGGTCACTAGGTTTTCATCAAGATCTTTTCCTTAAGCCATGATTTTCCTGAGTTTAAAAGGCCTGCTTTATTTCCCCAAAAATTTCTCAAATATTACAAATAGGTCCTTTCCTGCCACCTTTATCAGGCATGGTAGCAGTAAATGCTCTCCCAGAAGGTATATCCCTCCTGGGCCTGAGAATCGGGAGGACAATAGACAGGGAGCTAATGGGACAGGCTGCAGACACCATCTCCCCTAACAACACAGCAGCTGTCCCCTAAACCAAGGCAGGCACCTCCTCTCCTCCTCTTCAGCTAGTGAAACGATTACTCAGAGCAGAGGTTAAGTCAGACCACCTGCAGCTACCACATGAGGAACCCACGGCTCCCTCCTCAGGTGCAGAACCACAGGACTTTCAGAAGTTGCTGCCTGCTTGCATGGCTTTCACAGAGTTTCTGGATTCTGGCTCTTTGAACTGGGTTCCTACTCCATAGCGCTCCCACTTGACAACTCTCAGGCAGAAATAGATGGATGATAATCTCATGGGAGAGCCTTTGTCCTACCCCAAAATAATGCCTTTACAAACAGCTACGGACCTGACACCCTAAAACACAAATAGCACATTTAGCTGTTCCTCTGCTGTTCCTGCCTGGAGAATTTAGAAGTGTGCAATGCACATGCATTCAATAACCAGTTCCCAGACTTGCCAGTAGTATTATCCACTGACTGGTTACTGCACTGCCTTACTTGTTGCTTATCTGGTATCTCAAATTCTGGCACAGACAACATGCAAACTGGGCAAGACAGGAGTTGTTCATGCAGGGTACATGCACAGTGCAGTGTTACTGTACCTTTTCCTTTCCAGTCCACACAGAAAGGGCAAAAAGAGGAAAGAAAAATCCAGAAATCAATACAAAAGAGTGAAGTAACCAACAGCATATATGTGATTATCTTCAAAGACAGAGAGAACCTTCAGATTTTGCAGATAGTGTTTTCCTTTTGTTAACATTTCCCCTTTTGATTTATTCAAGTAATAGCTAGTTTTTTTAAACCAGGGGTTTAGAAAACATGAAATCGCTGAAGAAAAATGAGTTCATAAATTTGGACTTCATTGTATTGAAGACTAAAAAAAAATCTGAGAGGAAATAAAACTGGAAGTTCACAGTGATATAACTGGTAAAACTATTTTCATCAGTTACCATCAGCCAATCAACTCCCCATTAACTTCTAAAAATGACCAAGGTCCCCAAAATCTAGTTTTAATGCTGTCTTCAGGTACTTACACCACCTGTTCTCTCAAGATATCATGCTACTTCCACACCTCAGCAAAGACTTAGGACACCACCCATTAAGTTTTACTGCCAACAGAGGAAATAAATGGTTCGATGCCAATCAAAACAAAGTTTAGCTATATAGAAATTTTCTGCTCAGAACATAAAGTCTCCATGAAAAATAACTCACTGAAAAATTTCAGTGAGTTCTGTTTAAGGGCTAGTTTCTGAGTAGTGTAAAAACCTCTTGGCTCTTCTAGAAAGATGAAGGAAGAAAACCTCAGAAGATTGTTTATTGTTACAGGCTTGCTGGGAGAGCACTTCTCCACCGCAGCGAGCAATCCTCAAGGAAAGTCATGGCACACAGCACCACTATTCACTTGCATAATGCTCACAAGTTTTCAGACAAGTTTCAGAAGGAATTTGGCAAAAGGATGGCCCTCATTTATATACCAAAAAAAATCCCCCAAGTGAGCACATCACTAGAAAGGTCATGTTCCTAAGGCACAAAAAACTGTCATTATCTAAATGTGGCAACAAAGCATCAAACAGAAGATAAACTACCTGAAAAATAGGTAAAAAATAAGAGCACGAAACTCTTCTCAGTAATGTCAGATCATGTAATAAACAGCATACCAGAAATGGCAAATTGAGAGGTTGTTAGGAATTATTTTTCCCCTGCAATGTCGCCCTGGAGCAGGTTACCAGAGGAGTGTATGCACACACATTTGCCCGTTGGGCAGTATTTTCCATCCATAAGAGTTCTTCAAGACTTGGCTAGACAAGGCCAGGGCTGCCTTGACCCAGTTATTGGTGACAGTCCTGCAGCAAACAGGGTGGCTACAGGGCCCCAGACATCGCTTCCTAACAACACTTCTGCAACACTTACAAGACGCCCAAGAGTTAGCATCTAATCCAACTCTAATCCACATGAAAAATACTGTTTTTCAAAGGTTAGGTGCACAGAGAACTGTATTGTGATAATTTTTCAAGAGCCAACAGAAGCATTCAAAAAGGCAGAATGAAAGCTACCCAAGTCTTCCTTAAAAAGGACAAAGCAGGCAAGAGGAACAGGTGGACTTAAAAAGAGACAAATGAAATAGCTACATAAAGTAACATGTATGAAAGAAAAAATAAAATATCTTCTAGTGACACAAAATTATTCAGAGAAATTTGATCATCAGCAGTGTTCAAACAGAAAATGGAACTACATTTTGCAGGAAAAAAAAGGTGATGTTTCATTGTACAGTATAAACCATGCACACATCTTACAAAACTTCAGGGAGTAAATCTCATCCTAATTAACACACCTAGTAGAAAAATATCTCCATAACAGAAGATGCAGAACATGCAGAAATGGATTGGTCTACAGGCATAAACTGCTGGTTTAAATTACAGACTAAAACCAAGCCAGAACACTAATCCTCTCTTTTTGCACACAAGGTGGCCTTATCCATATCCTGTGAGGATTTCTCTCTGTGCAGATAGAACCGAGAGCACTGGGATCAACACCCATTTTAGTTACAGAAATGACAGAATTTCACAGAGAACAGAATTGTACAGAAACATTCATGCTCGTATCTGAAACAAGTTTGGGTGATGTTCTTTCATTCCTCATCACCTTTAAACAGACTCACAGAATAACTTCAGTTGCATGGGAGTTAGGGAGGTCTCTGGCCCAGTCCTGCTGTTCCAAGCAAAGTCAACGAGATCAGCTTATTCAGGGCCTTGCTGAGCTTTGAACACCCCCCCAAGGAAGCAGACTCCACACCCTCTCAACTCTTCTCAAACGCTTCAACAACCTTCATGCTTCATGGTGAAAAATCTAATCTGAGCTTCCCATGTTGCAACTTGCCTCTTACCTAACACCATGGACCTTTAAGAAGGGTCTGAGTCTCTCTCTCCCTTTCCATCAGATAGTAGAAGACAGCAACATGAAGAGCCCCTCAGCCACCTTGTCTCCACGCAGGAGAAACCCAGTTCTCTCAGCCTCTCCTCACTCATCATGTGCTTCAGCCTGTATTCATCTTGGCGACCCCCCTCCACCGGGCTCACTGCAGTACAACGATGTCTGTCTTGTGCTGAGCAGCCCCAAACTGGCCACAGAACATCAGATGTCATCTCACAAGTGCAGAGGAGAGTAATAATTTTCCATACAGCCCAGTATGTGGCTGTACAAACAATAACTTCATGTGTTTCAGACTACACAGCCTTGCAAAGACCATGGCCAAAATAACAGTAAATAAGTTGGTCCAAAGTAATCAATGCCATAACAAAGAAAACTTTGATTAAACACTCTTGCACTGAGCAGAACAAAGTAATCTTACCAAATACATTAACTGAAATACCATAGCACACTAAGCACCTCAGACATTCAGTGGTACATCCTCTTAAACAGGACTTGATGTAGAAATAATCACAACAAAGGTAAGAATGCTAAAAAGAATCTCTCTCTATTATGACACCTGCAGTGAACAGTTTCTTGTTTAAAAGCTTACTGACTTCATAGTGTCTGCATACAGAGAGAACAACAGGAAAATCAGAGTAAAAATGCATTCCATAGTAGTGATATTGGACATCTCCACATACTCGCCAATTTTTAGAAAAACTATAAAGATCTACTACTAAAAACTCAGTAAGATCATGTGTTGACTGTAGCAGATAAGAAGTTATTTATGTTGAGATTAAGCACATCCTGTAACTGTTTCAATACCAGATTAAGTAAATGCAATCAAAGAGTTTAATATCTAAATATCCAGGAAGGCAAGTCTTACACTGTCACAGTCTCTCCCTTCCTTCCATTGTACCCTGTCCCCCGTAACTTTTGGTCTCTCGAATAATTTCAGCCAATTTTGAAAGAAAAGTAAAACAGATAATGAAATTTCTGAAACTGTTAAAATTTGGTGCTGCATACACAAAATGTGCAAAAACTTGACGCATAAGGTGAGCAATTCAAGAGTTGTTCTCACACAGTTGGTAAGCTGGATAAACAGAGGCAAAGCTCAGAAACTTTTTTAAGAAAGTTTGGTGATAAGAGGAAGGAAAGAATAACAGAATGAAGGGACACAGAAGTGACTGGTACAGAGGAAGGTCAGGGAAGGAGAAACCTATGATGCAAGCCTGCAGGTAGCCATGGCTCAGAAGTTCCACTTCCCAAAGAACACATTTTAATTTCCCTAATCCTGGCAGCTATTATGTCATAGGGGAGAAAAAGATTAATACTGTATGAGATGATATTCTATACTGGTTCTGGTTTCCTCCACATGAAAACAGAGTAACTTATATGTAAACACAGAAAAGACTCTAGACAATTGCCACAGAGCTAAATTTCTTAATATCAGTGTGCCAATCTTTGACAAAGAAGAAGAAATATGTGAATAAGAACAACTAAAGTATTATTTGTACTTTATTTCTTTCCTGAAAGAAAATCACATTTAGCACAAAATGAATGTATTAGAAGAAATCCACCCTGCAGTTCTAATCCAGGCTGGTTTTTTTTGCTTGTGTTTGGGGCTTTTTTAGGATCATTAAAACGCAAGTAACTCAAAACTTTATTTTTAACTTACCAAATATCAGTGCTAACCCATGGGAAGTCCCCACTGCTATCAGATTTGATGCTGCCTGAAACAGTCATGCAGAAAGATTGAAAGTAGAAACATAAGTCACAAATCCAGCACTTAAACTCTCACTTCGCTCATGCAAAGTTTGCCAAAAGGAGAAGATTTAAAAGGTTATAGACATAACCATTTTCTAATTTATAAGTGACAAGCAGTTCCTACGTGTAAGCTAGAGAAGTATTACACTTGAATGACCATCACACAGATTTTCTCAAGTTCAGAGGGCTGCCTTTTCCTCTGCTGTTTGAAATTCAAATGCTCAAGAGCAGTACCCACAGTGAAATTTCTTCTTTGTAAAGTCAGCCTCATTCTTTTGGCATAGTAGCTGAGTATAAATACTCAGAGGATCTTTTTCTCATGCAGCTGCTACATCCTCATCTGAACTCCTCTACAACCCTGGGTAGCACTGGTCCCATGAAGAGACAGTCCCCAGTAAGGCCAGAGACTCCAACTTCCTTCCATGGGGAATTAAAACACAGCTCCAAGATTCTATTGCACTTGCAACTTGCACCCAATTAAAAAAAAACTTAGTAGAAATCACATAATGCTGTAAATATATTAATGTTCTACTTTTTATTTCTTAACAAGTGTAAGTCAGATTAAAAAAATTAAGTGCTTTAATGTCTGGAGTAAGTACAGGTTTTTATCCTGTGTGCACATCAGTCACAGCATGTTTCCAATCCTGCTGTGCAACCTTTTGCCTTAGATGTAACTAGGTTTTCTTCCTTTTTTTTAAAACAAAAAGCATAACTTCTGATGGATTGCTGCTGCTACTACAGTCAAAGCAACCAAGCACATCTTCAGTTTATTTGAAAAACATTAAAACTCATTTCAAAAAGGGAGAACAAATCCTCACTGTATTTCACCTCCTTAAAATGTTTCTCTTCTCCTTTAATTATAGGCAGCTTCACTTCTGATGTATTTTAATTAGTATGCTTGACTTCAAGAAATTTAATGCAAATTGCTAAGCAGGAGTATCTTTCAGACAGGCTTTTAGTGTAATTTTGTATTTTAAGGTCGTATTTCAGTTACATCAGAGCCATAGAGACTTTGAACCCATCACTTTATGAGCACTTCAGTTTAAGTTTCTTAAAAAAAATTGTTAGGATTCAAAGCAGTAACTGGCAAAGAGGCAGCACCTGGAGAAATTCCATGTGTTCAAGAGATAAACACTTACCTTGAGAGGGAAGGTTATGTGTTCAACTAACAAGCCCCAGTGATGACATGAAAAATGGGAGAGTGTGGGGCTTGACCAGCAGAGGGGCAGCTGGGCAGTTAAAGGTTGAATTCTGCCCCCAGGAACTAGATCTTTAATGCTGCTTCTCCCAAACCTCATATTTGAAAATTCTTAGTATGGCTAAGATGAAAGATGCATTTATCAGCTGTCTTACATTACTGCTTTAAGTTTACATGAAAACTAACTGTACATTACTTGAAAATTGTTAGGGTACTTACAATTGCAGTGGGCAAGCCAGCATCCACTTTGTCCTAGAAAAACAGGAAAAATCATGAGTAAGAGATAGAATTCCCAGCTCTGTACATGTCTCTAATAATTAGAACTACAACATGCAGACAAATCAACACAAGTTGCATTTTAATAGTCCCACCAGGACAGAGAATGCTGAGGGAACCACTGGCTAGAAATACCCAGAAGGGATGAGGAAGTACACAGAAATGGAGAGGAAGCAGAATATCCTGTAATTCCTTACGAAAATGACTGTGTTCTTCTGAAAACAGTCTAATCTTAAGAACAGTTTTCAGTATTCTCTGTGTACACAGCACAAACATTGCTTGCAAATTGTTTCATTGTTTCACTATGCTCTGTCACAGCACAGACATTGCTTGCAAATCTACTTCCCTCTCCCCTCCAAGCACACCTTATTAGCTTCTCATTCAGGTGGATCGCTCCCCGCCCCATGCAAGCAACAGCCAGCAGCAGACCGGTAACGGCCAGGCCCTGGCCACACAGCCAACACGAAACACTCACAGACAAGTCATTTGTGTTCTATTCTAACAAGCCTACCTCGAACACTTCAGAAATCACATGCTTTTCTACATCCCCACCATATCTCTGGTCAACCCCCAGCAGTGCTACAGGCTTGGGGAGGAGTGGCTGGAGAGCTGCCAGTCAGAGAGGAACCTGGGGGGGGTTGATTGACAGCCGGCTGAACAGGAGCCAGCAGTGTGCCCAGGTGGCCAAGAAGGCCAAGGGCATCCTGGCTTGTATCAGCAATAGCGTGGCCAGCAGGGACAGGGAAGGGATCTGACCCCTGTACTCAGCACTGGTGAGGCCGCCCCTCGATGACTGGGTTTAGTTTTGGGCCCATCACCCCAAAAAGGCCATTGAATGACTCGAGCGTGTCCAGAGAAGAGCAACGGAGCTGGGGCAAGGTCTGGAGCACAGGTCTGCTGGGGAGCGGCTGAGGGAACTGGGGGGTTTAGTCTGGAGGAGGCTGAGGAGAGACCTCATGGCCCTCTACAGCTCCCTGAAAGGAGGGTGCAGAGAGGGGGGATGAATCTCTTGAACCAAGTAATAAGCAGTAGGACAACAGGGAATAGCCTCAAGTTGCACCAGGGAAGGTTCAAACTGGCTCTGAGGCAGTATTTCTTTGCAGAAGGGGCTCTTGGGCGTTGGAATGGGCTGCCCAGGGCAGGGGGGCAGTCCCCATCCCTGGAGGGGTTGAAGAGTCAGGTCAACATAGCGCTGAAGGATCTGGTGTAGTTGGGAACTGTCAGTGCTAGGTTAACGGTTGGACTGGATGATCTTCAAGGTCCCTTCCAACCTAGTTGATTCTGTGATCTCACACAGTCAGTTTTCGCCAGCAGTACAATCTACAGACCAGCTCTACTGTGCCTGCAGCGCAGCCGCAGCAACGTGTGAACCTGCTCCTCACTAGGCTCAGAACCATGACTCCATGCTGTGCCTGCTGCAAGCATTAAGCAAACCTGTTCCCAGCATCTTCACAAAAGCAAAACAAATAGCACCGCTATAATTTTATATTAACATTTCCCGCCAGGTTAAATGACACCCAGCAACACAAATCAGTGTTAAGGAGGACCTACCATCTTGCTGCTGCAATGTCACCTAATACCTGATTCACTGCTGGCTAGGGATTACTAGTTAGTAGTTTATCACGGAATCAACTAGGTTGGAAAGGAGATCATCTAGTCCAAATGTTAACCTAGCACTGATGGTACCAAACATGTACTGAACATATTAGTATTATCCAGAACTAATAGTGTGGGGAGGGAGGAGATCACACACAAACCCCTCCACACCATAACAGGTTCAAATTTTTCTTAATGGATGTGACCAGGAGAAAAAAAAAACAAACACCTACTGCTGCAGATACTATTTGGGCAGAAATTCCTTTCAGAAGTGAGAGCCGTATAACTGATCCATGGAGTGAAAGAGAATCAGGGAGTTTTTTCTTCCTAAGGAAATAAGAAATAAACCAAATGCATTAGAGCAGAATAAAAGTTTGGAATTTGCATAACCCACAGCTAAACCAGCAGGTAAATTCTGCATGCACACATCACTCATAACGTTCCCATTCTTATTCTTGGCGCCTACATGCACAGAATGAAACAGGTACAAGATTACTGGCAAAGCCTGATATGCATCACTGTGCCTGCATAAAATGTGTTTTTAACTCATCTCCCAGGGTAAAAAAAAAAAGTTATTCAAACAAATTTTCCATTTCAATCATGTATGTGCAAACCTTCGAATTTATTAATAAAGCCTGAAAGCAACACTTTTGCTCTTTAATTAATCTTGCAGCGAGTTTCAGCCTTAAAAGGTGAATATTTTAAGGAAAATCACAATTGCAAAAGGCTCATTAGGAGAATACAGACCCCTAGGAAAAATGGATATATGCTTAAAGAATAACAATCAAAAGACAGCTGATCTGATATGAAAGGTTAAGTGTTTCTGTTCATGGAGCAAATGTCTTTTAAAAGTAACTACAGTACAGGGGACAGCTATTTCTAAGGAGCACAGGTATACTGCAGAACACAGAGTAGAGGGAAAAGCCCCAGGAAAGTTGCAATTCTGTTGCCAAGCACACATCACCAGAAAGCCAAATTTCTAAAACTAACTGGGAAACATTTCATTTTTAACTCTACAGCAGCACACAAACAAGTAGCTCATATAAAGGCTGAAGAAACATGTTAATAGCTTTTATTATGGGTAAAGACCCATAAACATGGCAACTAGCTTCATCCAAAGATGACAGTAACACTCCCAGGTTTTTCTGCCCTCTCTGTATTGGAAAACATATAAGCTACTCCTGGTAACATCTCCCTCAATACAAACCATTTTATTTGAAAAAACAAAGAAGGGACAGCGAGTCAGTTCACCACCATATGTCGCCATAAACCACCACACTTCCATGTTTCTATCCTATACAACTACTCTCGTAACAACGATGACTTCTTATGGCATATAAGGCAGCCATGGGAGTGGCTCAGGATGCAGGATCAGACCATTATCTGAGTAATTATCAAGACAAGTCAGGAGGGTTATAGCTAATTACCACATTCCAGTTTGCTTTTAGACTTCAAAATAAGCACTCCATTACAGGAGTGACAGCAGTTGACTTGCCTTTTAAAAATAACCACCAGCTGCTTGCAGACTCTGGATGCCATCAGACACACCTTTGAAAGATTTTCTTTAAAATCATCAAGGTTCAGGTTTTAAAGATTCCACTGAAATTCAGATAAATGTAAATACTCCATCTCCCATAAAACGCATTTATTGCTCAAACAGGCTAACCCTCAGTGCAAAAAAAATTCCATCTTTGCCTACCTGATTTTGCAGGAATAACACTGTTCTGTCAAAAGCAGCTTCAGCAGAGTCCCTGCAGCATTCCCCTGGGACTTCAGCACCAGGGTACAGCAGCAGGAGACAAAATCCACATGTGTAGTTAAAGTGTTCCCACCCAAGTAATGGACAAATCGCACGCTTACAGCAAACCTCAGGGAGGGGGCAGAGGAAGTTGCCTTAGGAAGCTCTGGATTTTCCTTCCACCCACTCAAAAAAGGAGAATTTGTTTTTAATTGATATAAGCAGTGCTCCTTACAAAAAAAAAAAAAAATTACCCTCCCAGGGTATTGAGTCCTGCAGTACCTTTTCAGATGTGTCCGGTCCCCACTGTCAGAGCTCGCTACAGAAGATGTGTCATAGGAATGTGTATCTGTGTTATCAACGTTCAAGAGAAAGGGATCCTCCAAAACGAAAGACTCTTCTTCATCATCAGTCTGAAGGAAGAGAATCACCACAGCTTACTAAACGTTCAAGATGCACAAGTATCTTGACCCAACCAAAAAGTTAGCAAAACAGCATCAATTAAGAAAAAAAAAAAAAAAAAATCAAGAAGCAGAGGACAAGATAGTTTCACATGTAAAAAACAGAAATATGTATTATTGTACTACAGATTTTCAGAAAGAACCGGTTTTCAGAATTCACAATAATGACAGAAGTGGGCTGGAGAGAAAGTTATTCAACCAGTCTTTGTTCCACAGATTATTATCTACTCCATCAAAACTTTAACAGTCATTAAACCAAGCTGTTCTCAAAAGCCTCCAATTGCTGAGAGAAGGCCTGGAAGTATTATCATCTCCTCCAGCACTTCACCAAGTGGTGGCTAAGAGTCTAGCAATCCCCTTGGGCCACTGCAAGGGTTGATTTTGCCCTTCTCTGCTCTTCTGCTGGTGATATCTCTCTCCTCTCTCAGGTTTAATGTGAAGTTTTTTTAATATTATTTTTTAAACAGCCCTGATGTCTTACAAATTCAGTACAGTTCATGTTGTTCTCGAAGCACAGAGACAGAGCAAACACAATACCAAACGTGCAGAGAACAGAGCAGGTGCTCATTTGTCTTATAGCTGGCAGTCCTGTGCCCATGAAGTATCTCTTTTTGCAGGGCAGCTGTGTAACTTTTTGGTTCAGTCAGGTTGTTTTCCACTAAAATCCTTTTCAGAATATGCTTTGCCAGTCATTCCCATTCCATATATACTGAGATAAATAGCACTAGAGGAAGACTTTGTATTTGTCTGCACTACACTTTCTTCATGATTACCTCTCAAGTTTAAGACTTGGACTCTACTCCTCTGACGTGGATGTGACTGCATCTCCTTAGAGTTTGGTATCACCCAAATACAGTCTCTGCCTTTATCACCCAAGGCCCCAGCAGAAACAGGACATACCTGTACACTACCCCTTCTACCACTCCTCTTGTTCCTAGGCTGTATGTGTTTGGGGCACCTTACACCTGCATCTCTAATACAGCTTTTTAGAAGAACTGTCACCTCTCTCAGGCTCCTTTTCCTTTTACACTGGCTTCCTAGGAAGTCCAACCACCAATTTCTTCAGTTTGTAAAAAGCTTGTTTTCTTGTAGTTTATCTTTACTTCCATGCCCTTCTTTTCCTTTCTAAGAATCTTGCACTCACGTGACTATTACAAAAAACGCACTAAATTGGATATATGGAAGACAAAGTCAGCTCTCCCCTGCAAGGTACAGGCAATGTCAGATGTTGAGACAGTTCATGACTCCTACCAGAGGGCTAAATAGAAGTACAATATAAATGGAGCCATGAAGATCCTAGTTTTTACCGTCTCCCACAGCTTAAGAACTACCAAGAATTCTCTGCATTTATTTTTGGCTTAAAAAAAAAAAAAGTTGTTCAATAACTCTGACCTTTTAACACTTTTAATGGACTGTACAGCCTTCAGGTGACTGTCCAATACCACACAGGTGAACATGCTTAAATTTGATGGAAAATTTTTGTTACAGCCACGGATATTTTGATTGAAAACACAAAATTCCGTATTACCCACTGTACAGCAATTACTCAGCTGAGCAAGTGCTTTGTCAGCTATTGGTATCGGGAAACTATGAAGTTATACAACTTTATTTTCCAGGAAAAACACAATATGAGAAGAATCAAAGGAGTTTGTGCTACTTCATCTCAGTTCCTCCCTGTATTGGAGCTGGTTGCATGGTTGATGGACCACTCACCTCATTTAAGATGCTCTCTAGTGTTGGAGGAGTATCAACTTGAGGAATGTCAAATTCTTTGTCATCGATCTGTACATCAGAAAGCATAGATGGAGTTCAGGTTGCCTACCCAACCTTCCAAACTTTTTTCTAACTAAAGAAAAAAAAGCAGCAATGCATGAACTCTTTCCAACACACCTCTGCCCAGAAAGGCACTACAATTTCTCTCATTGAAAATGCATAGCATTACAAAATAAAACAAGAAATATTTAGTAACAAAAATACACAACAGTTCTCTGACCTGTGCCCAGAAGTTTCAAATACTTTTTTTTTTATTTCTAAAGATTGCTACCAATGTCACACCACCTAATACATATACATCATCAATACATCAGATTTTTTTTCTGACTGCTTACTAATAGGGAAAAACATAACTTTCTTAAAAATAAAGATGCTTTTATCCGAGACTTGCATTACTGAAAACCAAGCTTTGCTACAGCAGGAAGGCTACCCCAGCCCTTGTGCCCTACTCGCCGATGTAACTGCGGCCTCTCTGCCCCTTCCCACAGACTTAAAACCGGCTGACACCGCGACTACGGCCCGACACGGCGCCTTCCTAGGACGCAGGATTATTTTGCCCGCTCCGTGTAGCACAAGCGTCCCCGCCGCCCAGCACCGCGTACGCGGGAGCTCTGCGGGGAGGATTAAACACGGTGCAGGTTACCCTCAAAATCAGCCTTCGGGGTAAGGCAGCGCGCCGGCGGGACAAGCCCCACCG